ACGAAGGAAAAAAAAATAATGAATCATTATGAAACAATTATAATGAATTACATTTGATGAAAATGCAAATGTTTTTAGAGGCGTTATTAATGAAATAATTACGTTTTATCTTTTATGCTATCTATTTATAATAGATCAATTTAAAATAATTAATAAAAAGATTTATTAAATTGTTCATTTTTCACAATTATAAATATTCTCCTTCTGTTTGTTATTTTTTGAATTAAAAAAATTATTCCAATTTTAAATATAAATTTATAATTACTAATTTTACTATAAATATTATATTAGGTTCATTTTCTTATAGAATTAAGAAATGTTAATTATATGCTTATGGTGCAATCAATAATTGAAGCGTAAGTGGAAATAGGAAGCAATTTATGCGAGCGATAAAGACCACAACCATTTTGACATGATAATGATGAGATTTAAGAGTGATGAAATTGATAAACTATGATAAAGTGAGCTTCTTGAATTGATGATTAAAATCACAAAGTATTGTTTGAAATTTTTTTTTTTCTATTACAGTAAATAAAAGCAATTATTTATTGTTAAAAAAACCGAATTATTGAATTAGACATTTGTTAAATATTAACGCTAGAAACAGATATGAATAAAACCTATTTATGTTTACTTAATAAAATTTGTAAATCGTGTATTGTAAATTATACTTACTTAGAACTCATAAATTTGGTCATTTAGACTAGGTGTGAAATTTGACCATTTTAACAATTAGTATTTGAAAATGTTTTAACTAACTATTAACTTAACCATGAGAAATCGTTTTTAATTCCTTTTCTTGACTTCATCCAATTTCTATTCTCATGCAATAATAATTCATTTTTGGGTTATTCGTTAGAGTACCATAATGTATTAATTGAATTAAATCACATTTCAAAGTCAATAAAAGTAGGTAAATTTAAGCAAAAAATTGGGTGCATAGACCTTTTTGCATTGGTAATTATGTTTGTCGCTTCTTAGGTATGCATGACAATTGATGGACAAAATAGTTTTGCTAATGCTACCATAATAAACTTTTGCAGTTCATAAATGAAATTTGGAAAATTTTGATAAATAAATTAATCTAGTTGTTTTAATCCTTTTTTTAATGTATTCAGAACACAATTTATGAGTCAAAATATTTAATTAAATATTGCAAATCAAATATTTATTGCAGCAATGATAATAAATAATATCGCTCTGAGGACTGTATTATTAGTAACCAAATTAAATAAAAAAATTATGAATGACATATGAGTAAATGCTAGCAGTATTAGTGATATTTAATAAAATCAGTTAAAAACATATTTGTCGGTAACAATCTTTATTGAAATTAAATTAAAATTTATGATAAATCAATGAAAGATTATAAGAAATATGCTTGAATGCATTAATACAAATAAATCGAGGAGAAATAAAATTGAAATTGAAAAGTTTGAAATAAAAATTCATTAGTAAAAATATACTACTATGCATAATTATTTGGTAATAAAATATGATTCCTTGCATTACATATTATTATTATCAGTTTAAGTTTTTATACCAAAATTTAAAAATATTCTTGTCATTTGTCTATCAACTAAGCAACAATTATAAATTTCTCTGTATTTATTTTATAAGTAAGCAGTAATTTATTAAAATGTTTAATCAGTAATTGACTAATAGTCATTTATTTTGAAATCCTATTAAAAAACTATTTCCATCTTTCTCTTCATTTCAAAGATATCTTATTTTGTTGGTTGCTTTGAGAAACAAAAAAAAAAAAAACTGTAAATATGCAAAAATTATAAAAAATGTTGATTGCATAAACAATGCACTTTTATACAAAAATGTAAACAATCGAATTGAAACTTTCCTGCCTTTCAAAATTTCCTGCTCCCTTTTTTGTGCTTTAACATTAATTAACATTGTTTATTGTTGCTAGCAACATCATTGGAAATTAAAAAATATATCAAAATGATTTCGTTTCAACTGAACAATTAAATTAAAAATTTATTCATTATATCAAATTGAAAAACTGCTTCTTTTTAAAGAATAAATTTTCTTTTTTAAATTCTTTTTTAAAGAATAAAGAATTTTTTGCTGTTTTTGTTATCCTCTGTTGAGAAAAAGAAAAACAAATTTAATATTTAATTGCAAATAATTATTTATATTATTGCGACAATAATTTGAAATAATTTGACATATTTGTTAGATCATTAAAATTTAATTCATTATTTCTCTCTTGTTTATATGATGCCAAGTTTTTTTTTCGAAATATTTTTAATAAAATAATAAAAGTTAAATTTAATGGCGGAATTTTAAGGTTTGTCCTTTTTCTTTCCTCATTCTCTTACATCTCCCTTTTGATTTAAACAATCGTTTTTCTTTCTGCTTTGAATTTGATATTATTTTTAAACTTTTTCCAGAATCTTTGAAATTTGTTACAGTAATTATATATTAAAATAGTAACAATGGTTCTATAACAATAAAGTTTTGAAAATTGGTTTAATGAAGTGATAAAACGTTACGTCAAAGAGTTACGTTGAAGTATTGCGTTTATATAAAGCTTATATCTACACCATATTTGAAACGCACTTAATTTCATAATAATATAATAGGCAAAAAAACGAATTATTAAAAATTTAGAATGAAGAAAAATGCACTAATTTGCTTTAATTCTACTTCTTCAAGTTCTGAAAGAAGACAATAAAGTTTAATTAAAAATTTTAAACTTTCCAAAATTAATAATGTACTTATTGAAATCAAAAAAAAAAAGACTACATATGTAATATTGTAATGGTATTTTCTTGGGAAGAAAAATCAGGAAACTTGATCCACTTATTAAATGCTGCAAAATTTTTTGAAACCAATTTATTAAATAAATGTAATTTTGACAGCCAAATTTAAAAAAAAAGATGTTTATCACTTTTTATCATTATGTTACTGCGATGGCGAATTGATTTCCCAGCATTATTTATAAATTAAAAAAAAAAATTGCCCTAGTTGTTTTCCATTCCTTATTTTCTAATACTTTCATTTCCTTTTGATTCGTGTTATGTGGTTTTTTTTTCTTTTTTTTTTTTTAAAGTAGTATGTTGCTGTTCACGTCATTTACACTTCATCCTCGTTCCTTTCGTTTTTGCGATTATTTTGCTAGTTTCCTCTATCCAGCTGAAATGGTTTTTTGAAGCAATCTGATTGATATTTGTTAAAATATCGATCAAAAAACAAATTAAAATATAAACAAAATCAGATAATCATTAATAACAAGAAAAAATAGTAACAAAATGGGGTAATAATAATAATAACAAAAACAATATTGATAATAATAATAACAATAATAATAATAATAGTAATGATTAATAATAATAATGAAAATAAAAAGTAATACTAATAGTAATAAATGTATTATATTAGAAAATCTTATCCAAAAGTGTTAATAATTCAAAATGAAAAAATATTATGGCAAATTTAATCTGCAAAGATTGCAACAATTTGTATTTAAACAAAAAAAAAGATGAAAAGGATATAATTTAAAGAGGAACAATTTTGTGAAAGTAATGATTCAATCACTGATATATTGATATACTCTTACTATAATGTTATAATCATTTCCATATTCACAACAAAATAAGTCAAAAAAAATATTTTTCCCACAATTCGTGATTTTTTACAAACTATAAAATCGCTAGAATTTTTCAAAAGGCAAAAAAAAAATTACGACACTTACCTAAGTACTTACTATGTCTATTGTTTCTTATACTGTTATTAGGCTCAAAGTAATAAAAGTTTTTCAGTATGCTTTTCAATTAGCTTTTTTTTGAAATAGAAAATAAACAGTTTTATTATTTTCAAATTCTTTAATTGATAAATATAGATGGTATACAATTGTTGTGATATCTGCAAAAAATAAATGTTAAGTTTTTGTCTGTTCTTTAGTTCTGCTTTTCCAACTCTTTTTTCTTTCTTTTTTTTCAAGTTTTTTCATTGAGTAATATATATATAAGCAAATGATGTGGGAATATTAGTGGAAAAGTAAAAGAAAATGATAATATAAAAAAGAAATTTCTAAAATCGTCAAATACATCAATGAAAAAATTAAAATTTTTAATGAAATAATCAAGTAAGAAATGACAAATGTGATATATATATACAAAGATTAAAATGGAGTATGGAGCAAATGATTTCGAAAAATACATTTCACAAATGTTAAAATATTTTGTTTTTAATTTGTCATAGAAAGCTAATTTGTAAAAAATGACACGAAAAATAAAGTAACTGATATAATCAATTTTGAAATCAATTAATTCAATCATTTCAAATTATTTTACTGCCAATTAATTGAATACGTCAATCTCAACCAGCAAAATATTGCAAAATCTTTTCATCAAGCAAAGTAGCAACTTTTATATGGAATCTAAAATTAATTCTAAATTAAAAAGTATTGAAGAAACACAAATTTTAAAAAATTTCAATTAAGAATGTTGGGAAATGTTTGTAACAAATTTCAAATGATTTCATCTAAAATTATAATAATTTTCAATTATATTAATTTTTGCAATTAAATAAAAAATCAAAAGAAAAAAATTAATTAATAGAATGTGAGAAAAACGAATGCAATAAACATACTTAATGTCAATGGTAGTTAATGCAATAATTAATAAATTAACAATTAATGTTATACGCTGCTTCTTTGTGTAAAATATTTTCGCATTTAAGGAATGTTTTGACAAACGCAACGCACTCATTTTTCTTTTTTTCTTTTCCTTTTGATCAAATGATTGGAAAAAACTGATTGATTAAATGATTGTTTGTAAAAATCTTTCAGAAAAGAAAAAAAAAGGAAAGAAAACAACGATTCAATTGGTTTGTGTTGATGAATGTCTTGATAAAATGCTTCTTTCTTACTATTAAACGTTTCATTTTTCTTTTTTTTTTTTAATATTTTGAAGGCAAAATAATCAAATCATTCAATTATTTTACCCAGCGTTGTTACAGTCGATATTCGAGAAATGATAATGTTTTGGTGGACATATGCAGTGGTTTGTTTTATTGCTATAATTTTGCAGTAATAATCAGATAACTTGAATTAAATGGAGCAGTGGTTATCAGATAATTAAATTAGTCATCAAACTTATTATTTTTTATTTATTATTATTATTGTTGTTGTTACTACTATTGCTATTACTAGTTAAACTAATTTTTATTGTTATTTATTGTTATAAAAAATAAGAACTAGAGCGAAAAAATTTTAGTGTACTATTCTTGGCGGAGAACTATCTTTGGTAATTAAAAATATTGGTTAACATTTGAATGAGTTACAATTATCGGAAAAGTAATAATGAATTTTGATACGTGTAAAATATAAATAGGTTAACAAAGATTAGGTGCAGATCAGTATGGTAAGAGCTGTTCGTGCTTTCCAATATATTTCTCAGATGATGCTTCTTTTTTAAGGTCAATCTAGTTATTTAATGTTAATTAGTAGGTTTAGTTAAAATAATTAGTTTTGCATCTGATAACATTAAAGCATAGTTTTTCAATCTGAAAAACCATTTCGCATGATTTTATTTCTTTGCATCATAATAAATTTGAATTGGATAAGCAAATTTACTACCTTAGTTTAATTTTATTGTCTTTTCCGAATAATCAAAAGTCAAAAAAAAAGGAGAAGAATTTCATTCCTAATTCTAACTGAAATAGTAACCTAACACTTTTCACACTGCAATTAACATGAAATTTGTTAAAAGATTTCTTTAAACTAATATCAGCAAGTAGTAATACTTATCTATTTTAAAGAAAAAAACACTCAATGTGATTAAATTTGTATGAAATACTATTTAAACATGCATAATTAATTTCAATTTTTCTATCTTTTCCTTTTCTTTTTCACAGCTTTCATTTTTATCCTTTTCCCCTAATTATGATCATTATACAAAACTGAAATCATTTTCTTATTAATTAAAATTAATTAAAAATTTGTAGAAATCTTAAAAATTTATAGCTTCTCACATCATGCATTTTGGTATTCAGTGATAAAAATTATAATAACAACCAATTTATCCAAGTAATCTTATTAGATGATTTATTAATCAACGGGAGACATCGCAGAATTGAGGATATAGCGATAAGAGAATACGATGGAAGGTATATCGCTTTATTGTTTTCTTTAAATACAACCAATCAATATTGTTTATAGTCATTAAAACTAATTTTGTTTTTTTTTTTTTTGTTTTGAACTTCAAACTATTCAAGTTTTATGCTGTTGCATTAAATGGCATCTGATTGATGCTAGTTGAAATTAATTATGAAATTTGAAATGTTAATTTACAACAACATTTTTTTTAACTTTTATTTTCAAAGGACAATTGAAATCTTACCACAATAGTATAATTAAAAGACTAACTAATGCAGCTTCTATTTACAGCTTATTTATTCAAAGAGTTCTAAAACTTACCGATATAGGACCATTTGCAGTTGCAAGTATGGTATTGGAAATATCACCAGGTAGGAAATTATAGTTCATTGATTTATACCTAAGTTAATTCATAACCACTAAAATTAATTTTCGTCCGTTTTTTAAAGTTTTATAGGATCTAAATGAGATAAATGAGATCTAACTTTTTTCATCTTTTTTTGTTTACACCTTACATTCATTCCCGCTTTTCGCATCTATCGGTAATATAAAATGATTATATTACATTTAGCAAATGATAATCACTTTTTAATCACTGAATAATTTTCTTTTTTTTTTTTTTTTTCACTTTTATTTCAGAAAAACAAAATGCAACAAAAGTGGACACCACACTATTACCACTGAATCATTCAAAAATTTTAATTCCATATATTCAAGCAATGGTTGTCGCACCATTTGCGCTTGAAGCGATAGAATTGGAGAAAAATGGCAAAATATGGAATATCTTGGAAATTGGTCTTGGTACCGGAATTTTGAACAGCTTCCTGCATAATATCTTTAGCTCTGTTCGTTTGTCTGTTTTTTCCTCAACAAATAAGAATTTAATTTTTTAAGATTTAAAATCTGTGATGTTTATTATTCAAACACCATTCTAATAAGTATTTCATCTGAATTTTTTGTTCTGATAACTTAAAGTTTACGGAATTTTTGCGACTTTGCAAGACAGTTTTTAGTGGCGTCTTTTTAACCAATAATAGCAACGAAGATTTTTGAAAGTATGAACTGTAAGTATATCATTGCAAAATACTAAATGAAACGTTAAGTATTTCAAGATTTATCTGCTTTTACTCTTAAAATTTTCAAGTTGATCTTCAAAATTGCACTTGAATGAATTAATTATATCATTAAACAAAAAACAAAAACGATTTTGTCCGTTCCCATCAGTCATTCCATTGCTAAAAAATACAATATCCTTCAAAATTTAATTAAAATTTTTGAAAACAAGAAAATTTCAGATGAATATAACAGCAATAGAATTGGAGCGAGGAATGTATGAAATAGCCAAGAAATATTTTGGTTTAATCGAAGATAATTACCAAAGAGTTATCATTGAAGATGGAATACAATATTTGCAGCGAATTTCAAGTTCACATGATTTTATAACATTTAACATTTAATAATTAATTTATATATATATATATATAAAGACAATAGTAAAAATATTAGAAAGGTTTAATTATTCGCTGAAAAAGATTATATTTATCCTTAGACTTTAATTATTATTTATCATTTCTAATTTTGAATATATGTTAATATTTTAATAGTTCTACATCAAAATGAAAACAAATAAAATTTGAAGGTGAACCTAAATACGATGTAATTTTTATTGATGCTTGCTATGACAGAATTATTGCTGATGTAATATGTCCAGTTGAAACATTCATGCTAAAACAAAATTTAAAAATTGTCAAGAAAGCATTAACCAAAAACGGTTCGTTTTTCATTTTTGCTTGATTTTTATAATTTTTGCATTTATAAATTATCAATTTATAACAATTTTGTAATATTTCAATGTTTAAAAAAACCAAAAAATTTCGAGTAAACCATCAATTTGCCTGTTACTCTCACAATATATTGAAATTGAAATTATCAACGTATTTGCATATTTTGAAAATGTTATATTGTTGCGCAATTTAAAATACGTCCAATCATTTTTAATGAATTCGATGTTCCCCACGTCACTATTGCTTGCCAATAAAAAATTCATATGAAGTCAAAAATTCAAAACTTAAACTCTTTGTGCTTATACAAAGGGGTTGTTGAATTTTTGAATAATTAATAAAATGGACACAGTCAATTTTCCAGGTATCGTTGTTCTATCAATTTTGACATTTGACGAAAAAGAACTCAGAAAGGTGTAACTTCAAATTCAATTACGCGTTAACATTATATTATTTATTGTTGCCAATGTTTTATTATTTATTAATATATATTGTTTCATTATTACCATTATTATTATTACTATTATTACCATCACTACCATTATTACTATTATCATCAATTATTATTTTTATGTCATGCATTTTTTATTGATTAAATCAATTGTTTCAGGTGGAAAGGAGGTACAGAAATGCATTTGGCAGCTGTCGCCTGATTACTGACAGTTTAAATCTTGTCAATCATGTGGGTCATCTTATAAATTATTTAATTAGAACTAATTTGGAATTGTCAATAAATTCTTTATATTAATGGAATATGATGTAAAAATTCTGCAATTAATATTTAACAGATATCTAGAGCAGTTTTGCAAAAAATGTAAAAATTTAATTAAATGAGATCAAATTTAAATTAAATTTTAGAAATTTTCAGGTTCTTGCATGTGGCGAATACCGAACAAGCAAGGTCGAATTTGTTAGAAAACTGGAAGAAATATACAAAAAATTTGGATTTGATTCACAACCGAATATTGAATGAATTAGATTTCACATCACAGTATGTCATGTGAAGTTTATAACTAGTACTGTTATGTTCATTATCCAAATGTTCAAATAACTTTGTTGTAAAAAATTTGAAATACTATTCCGTACAGAGTGGGTTAAAACGATGTTAAACCATTTAAGATATCCCAAACAATACGAAAATAATCAAAACGAAGAATGTCTAAAGTTGTAAGTTATGTTGTGAGCTAATATAACATTGAAGAACTCTGTGAATTAAACTTTGTCATCTTGCTAAATAAACATAAAATAGCATCAGGTTCGTATATGTACACATGCAATGAAATTTGAACATTTATTTGGATCGTTGTATAAATTCATCATACCGTAACCAGTATTGATCCCAATCATTATTGTAATCACGATTATGAACTGGGAAATTTACCAGAGGCTGTTTATGAATTTCATCCACCGGTACTTCGCGACGAACATATACATGGTCATCCTCTTTATCCCACCATGGGTACCACTTCTTATAGTTGAAATTTTGAAATGGTACAGCGAACTTAATGAAACCTATAAAGAATTCACATAAGATAGTTACCTTCACTAGAATTACTGCTCATTTACTTTGCAACCTAAATTTTTTGTCACATTTGAAATGAACGGTGACATTAGAAAAACAAAACATGATTTCGCAGCTTTTGTTATCATCCCAAAAAATATTTACCCATCAACTTTTTTCAAATTGAGATGCATAAATCACAAGTATTAAATTATTATTGTAGCTGCTTTATACATAATTCTTTCAACCTTGAGAAGTTCAATTTATAAAAATAAAACTATTTCAAAAATCAACAAAAAGAAGTGAAATGGTTCAGCAGTAAATTCTTAAAGTTTTCTCAGTCCAAATTTAACTTTTCTTCTTCTCGAAGTGCTGAATTTACTCCATGCCATTTAATGCAAAAAAAAAAAAATAATAATAATAATAAGCAATAAAGAAACACTGTGAAATATCAACAAACCATGCTCCTTTGCTTTTAACAATTGTGCCCGAAGCTGCGCATATTGATCAAAACATAGACCCAACTTTTTGAGAGGTAATATACGATCAGTCTGGTCAAAAAGAAATTGTAGAATTAAAGCAGGATTCTGAAATGTTTAATACTGTAAATAAAAAACAGGAATCTGTGATCAATTTTCTTTTTGCTCACTCTGCATCTCCTACTAGCCATAAATATCAAGCAAAAAACCACATTTCATTCTATAATGGAATTTCATTCTATAATGGAAAGCAAAAATAATTTCAGTATAAAGCTTAGCATATTGAATTATCATAAACCTTCTATAGTACAATTTTAGTAAGTCTAGTTAGTTAATTCAAATGAAGACTCAATTTTTGCTTTCATAAACAAAAGTCAATCTTTTTTTTTTTTAAAATCGTTTATTTAATTTATGCTGATTCAGGATGCCTTAATTAGAATTTATATTCAATCACAGAACAAATGAAAAAAAAAAGTTGATCAGAGAATAAATAGTAATTATGTTATATCTAACTCATCCTAATACATCGTAAACATAAATAATGACCAGAGAAGGAAAAAATACCCGATAATCAAAGAATAAATATTCATCTCGACAGATTGGGCATGCATGATTTACTTTGAACCTTCCTTCTTTGTCAATACAAAACATCCGAGGCTTTGGCATAAAAATAGCTTGTCCCTTGAAATTTCGTCTGTAGGAATGATAAACTGGCATTCCTTTATACGTATCTGCATATACTGGAAAACATAAAAAACTCTCCATTCTATGCTAAAAATAAACAGAAAAAATTTTCACTCCCATTAAATCGATATGTACTGATTTGAAACAAAACTGACGTTATATTTTTTACACACATCAAGAAAAAAGAAACACACCTTTACTATTCATATACGCTATTTGTTCCTCTAATGTATGTTTTGGCTTATAAAGACCTTTTTTCTTTTCTACAGTATTATAGGCATAACCAACAGCTTCTTCTACTCTTTCATTCTCTTCCGATGAACTTCCTTCTTCCACTTTTGAAGCACACCAGAACTGCGATGAATTATGATAATTACAACCAATCAGTCGATAATTCTTATTCAGTGATAGAAAGTTCGATCTCTGGAATAGCAAGTGAATATGCCTATGAAGCATAATGCCTGAAATTTGCTAAATCAAATTTACAATGTATGATGAGAAACATTGGAACTTCAATGAGATCGGACTGAAGTCGAAGTATTGTAATATCAACAACGTTCATAACACTCATGAAAATATGGTTGAATGTTAAACAATATTCTTTAATTTAAACTGAATAAATTTATCGAATTTCATCTCGCTACAACAGAAAACCATTGGTGTTTTACTCGCTGTAAATAAGCATATTTAAATTACATTAAATAATTTATTCGTGTATGAAAAGATTGAAGTAAGCACCAAAGGGCAAAACTGAGTTCCGTCTGTTTTATTCATTTAACATTCATTACGTATAGCAAAGTTGACCCCAACACCAGTGGAAATCATAACTGATATCTCCTTATAGATATTTAAATCTATCGTTCCAAAAAAAAAAAAAAGACTGGACCAGTAGATATTCACTGTTTGATGTAAAAAAAAAAAAAAAAAAAAAAAGGTATACATGAGAAGCAAATACGAAAACAATTTATCACATTAATTAATAAAACGAAAATTACTTGATTTTATCAGCACAAACAAATTAATTTCATTGAAAGGATTCGAAATTGAATTACAGGAAATTTCTTTCAATAAAATTGATTTGAAGTTTGAAGAGAATCAATTTAAACTTTAAAAGATCTGACTTGAGTCCAACTAACTTAATCTTAATACGAAATTAGATCACGTAACATACAAGAAAAATCAATGGATACAAAAACAACGATAAACAAATATATAGAATAAATCAGAACACACTAAGCATATATTGCAAATTAAGGTTGGTAAAAGGGAAAGAAACTGAAACATTAGTAATAGCAATGGACGAAATGACCAAATCGTTTATATGAATAATTTCATTACGTCATTATGTCATATTAGCACGTATGAAGTGGTTTTCGATTTAATTGCATATTAAACAATTTTAAGCTAGCTTAGGAGAAATAATACTAATTGACTTAACAAAGTTTTTTTTTTTTTTTATACGACAAAATTATGCGAAATTATTCAATATTCTACTAGGGGCTAAATTTGTGTTACTGATTTATGGACATTCAACTTCTATACAAAAATGATAAAAAGTTATTATAACGTCACTACTATCTTGGAATATCCATTTTTTCAGCAAGTTCAATCAGAATCTCATCCGTTCGTTTACGCCAATTTTCCACATCCTTTGACACTTCTTGCCACAATTCACCATGACGCGGCTCAGCTTGCAAGCACTTTTTCTTCACCAAATCTTGTTCTTCCTTTAAAGGTTTTGAACATGAGATGTATCCCAGTTGTTTCAGAAACTCTCAACAACTAAATTATAGACTTACCTGTGAACCATGCAACAGTTCGAATTTGTAAAAGAACGCCCAAGCATCCCCAAAATCAGGATCAATTTTGACAGTTCGCTGGAACCATTCACGCGCTTTTCTGATCTTCCGTTCTGTCCAAAACAGTTTCGCTACAGCTAATAAAACATCGGCGCTATGTTCACATTTCTTCAGAGCATCAACTGATTTTGTACGTCGACCGTGGCGTTCTTCCATGAAAATTGCTTCTGCCCACAGACGTCCTAATTTTGGAAATTTAGTTAATCGTATGATTTTAAAATTCTAGAAGTCCTTTATTCTTTATCATTTACTAAAAAGCATCAATTAAGAACGTAAAAATTCAAAAAAGTTTTATTTACAAAAGCTTTACTTGCTTATTTGGAAAACAACAAGAGACAGTAAGACCTGAAAAAATTTAGGCAGAAAGTGCTCAACATGTAACTAATACCTATTTTAAGAAAAGAATTAAATTAGTAAATAAAAACCGAAGATTTAATGGAAACCCGACAAAAGGCCTAAGACTACCTGAATGTTCACATTCTTGCAAAGCTCGAGCTAATCTTTCTTGCGCAAGTTCCTTCAAACCAGCTCGTGCCTCAATTCGTATGGCTTCCAACCTAAATTTTTGTGGAAAAGAAAAATTCATGCTTTCTTAACCCGCTTTTTTGAATACCCTTATGTCTTAAACACAAATAACTCTAATCTTATTATGGAAGGTTCTTTTAATACGCCAAGCATAAAAAGTGGATGCAGATAAGGTTTTCTTGTTTCTATTGTTGCATAGAAAATTGAAAAAAAAATAGAATATACCAGAGTTCTGAATTTTTCGGATTACGCAAACGAGCTTTTTCCAGATCAGATCTAGCTTTTATTGTCTGATTTTGTGATTCCTCCAAACGGCTCAACCAGATCCAAAGTGGAATAAAGGTAGGACAATGCTTAACCTGAAAAAAGTCCCAAAAGGAATATTTTGAAGTAGAAACTAGTGGAAAAAGTTACAGATCACAAAGCTGAAATTTTAAGCTAGTGAAAATAAAATACTAAAAAACCTACACCATCAGAGAAATACCGACGCGCTTCACTATAATTTTTTTCTTGCTGAAGTATTTGACCCATCATGAGATACAACTTCGGTGTTTCTGGAAATTGTTCCAATGCTTCCATCAAAAGCTTCTTAGCAGCAATTAAATCTTTCAAGCACCATTCTAATCTGAAAATACAACGAGTAAAATCGATCAATAAAACTGATTTAAATTAGCAGATTTTCGCAGCTACAATTTTTCATGTTTTCATAACAAAATGTACACACATCTAAAAAGACAATAAATATTTTAGCTAAAATATAATGGTGTTAAACATGAAATTAAAAGTAGTTTAAATTATAGCACCTAACAGATTTGAGATAAATGCGTGGAGAAGGAGCAATTTCTCGAGCTTTTTCTAACAGTTTACGAGCTCTTTGGAATTCATTGTTTTCTGATTCTAACTTTACAGCAGCCATCCAAATTTCTTCCGAATTTGGATTATTCTGAAATCACATATCAATTTTTACCTGACTTCAGATTAACTAAAAAATTCTTTAAAATCTCTATCGATATAGCGAAAAACGGATGTAATGGAAAAAATTAGTAACTATCATAAATCTTATTAATATTATTATGAGTCAAAATATAACCTGAAAAGCTCTTGCAAGAATTTCACGAGAAGCTTTTACATCACCTGCCAGCCATTTACTTTTCGCATACATTAACCATAAAGTTTCTGCTTTTGGACACTTTTCTACCGCTTTTTGTAACAACTGATCGTAACTCTCCCTAAAAATTGCGTAGTTTTCTTATGAACTATTCCAAAAGCTTTAAAATATAAATGCTACTACCGGCGATAGCTTTTTCCCTTTTAATAAAGAGTCTATCCCTCTCAATGTGTGATACTTGTCTGTTAACCTGACCAGTCAATGCAACCTTTAAACAAACTTACGTGGTGCCATGATTGCGTTCGAAGTGTGCTGCAGCAAACCAGATACCTTTCTTGGTTGGAAAAACAAGCAAAGCATGAGCATATACGGCACGAGCACATTCATATGCTTCTTGAGCAACAAACTGAAAATTAAAAATTTCCGAAATTTATGCTAGATTTATGAAATTTTAATGACAAATGAAAAGATATCAAATATTCACACAATTTTTGTTGATACATACAATCGCAAAAATATCTAAGATTACCGATTCCGCATCCTCCATCCATGTATGTTTTCGGTCTTCTTCTTCAACACCAATTCCAAGAACATGCGAAATGATAGCTTGTGAAGTGAGTCTACAGTTAGCCTAAAAATGCCTCCATTATCCATTTACGTCTCTTTTGCCAATTCTTTTCTAACGCAAAAACAAGGATTTTCAGAACACTGAAATGCATAACATAGTGGAAAATACCTTTTCAGCATCAACGGCATCTTTCAACCAATGTTCACGATTAATTTCAACCATATTCGCTTTCAGAGAAGTAATAGCCCTTTCGATAATCCTATCAACCATATCACTTTGTCCCCGAGTTTCCTCCAATCTTGCAGCGCTAATCCAAATTTGTCGTTCAGTAGGGATATGCTCACGCGCTCTGTTTAGAACACGACGCGCATTTTCGTACGTTTCTAGACGTGCCAATGCTAACCACAGCTCTGTTGAAGTACTGAAATTTCCCTATCAAAGGGAGCACTTTAATATTTTCTAAAGAGTTCAAAATTCAAAGCATTCTAAAAAAAATTCAGATAAATTTCGTCTCACACCTGCAGCATTCCACGGCTCTCGTGAGTAAAATTCTAGCATCTTCCGGCTCCTCCAATTCCACTGCCGCTTTCCATAAACGCACCGAAGTTGGAATTTGTTCTAGTGCCTTACGGAACACTTTCTTTTTTGCTTTTAAGTCTTCCTCAAGTTCAGCTGCTTTCATCCATATGCGTACCGAATTTGGTAATGAACGTACGGCAGCAGCCACTGCAAGAAGAATCTTGATATTTCAAGAATGAATCTAGAGAGTTTAAATCGGTTAAATAAAGCTATTCTTTATTACCAATAGCTTTTGCTGTATCCGGAGGATGCAAACGAACTGATTCTAGCCACAAATCTTCGCTCTTTGGATTTCGATCGCAACCTTCTATGATTAAATTACGGGCTACCTGCAACTTTCCAACCACTTCTTCCAAGCGCGCCGAAGCGATCCAGGCTAAACAACACTGATTTGAAATTTTCAAGATAAAAAGTATATGGATAAAACAAAATTTGTACGAGGTTAAATGAGCAGTTAAAAATTCGATTAAGTCCTAATTGTACCTGCGATTAGCTGTAGAAAAAGTCAAGGGAAAGAATGTTATTACAGTGCGGTATTATTTGGATTAGATAATTAAAATATATTTCATAGAATGTTAAGAGAGCAAAATAAGGACAAAGAAGACAGTTTCACCTGGTGGATGACGTGGATTGGTTTCTCTAACTGATTTTAAAAGCAAACGAGCTTTCTTGATGTCATTAATATCACCACCGTATTGCGGTATCATTGATTGTAAATCTGTTAGATAACCTTTTGGATCAACGACTGTTTGTCCCGTAACGGAATCCGACACCTGAATGAACAGCATGTCATTTAAAAACAGAATAAAGCTAACGATCTCTAATAAAATATATTTCTTTTAAATAAAACGAAACAATGTCGTTTCCATGTTCAAATGTTATTCAGCAGAAAAACAGGAGTAAAATTAAAGTTCTGGTATTCAACCAATAAAGCACAACAAATGAATGGAATCTTAAAACAATACTCTCACTGCATGATATTAGGTGAATCTAGCAACTTGCGTAAATCGACGGTACCTGATTTAATTTGATGTCCATAATTGCGTTCCTAGCCTGGCCAATTTTTCGTAAATCAAGATCCGCAGATGATGAAGAGCCGGATTGTATTCCGGTTTTCCATCCTGGTGTTAACAAACCACTTTTTATGCCGCTTAGTGTAGACATAAAACCACTACCATAGGTAGAAGTCATTCCATTAAACGTTGAAGTAATCCCGGAACCCATTGGTGTTAAGAGACCTGACTGAATACGACTGTCCATCTGGCTATTCATCTGGCCATATGACATAGCAGATGCGATTATTGAATCTGGCACTGGAGTAATTCTAAAAACCATAATTCGTTAAATAATTCTCTATTTTCCTTTGCAAAACCTCTACTGATGTGCTAAAAGAAGTATTAAAAAATAAGAATTAGGGTTGATATAAAGAATTCTACATAAAAATTAGAAAAAGATACTTGTCTGCTCGTGGATTACGTTTCGCTTTATTCCGAATATCACCAACTTCTGGAATTGCCGACCATTCTGCTTCCGTTACGTTGGACAATTGACGCTTCAGATCAGAAAACTCTTGCTGAATTTTTGGCCGTTCTTTACGATATTTTTCAATAGCTTCTTTGTATTTCTTCTCTCTAAATCAAATTGCAATTAATCATAAAGGTTGAATGTCAATCAATCCATCAAATCAATGACAGCTGGAAAAGTGCAACTTAACAGCCACCAGTTAATCGGCTAGCTTACCTATATTCTTTCCGACGTTCATCAATCCGAGAATCAACAGCACTGTAAATTTCGTCTGCTTCTTCGTCATCTTTATCATAAGGATCTTTCGAGAATAAGCTCCCACCGTAACCTTCAAACTAAAATTCAATAAATAGCATGGATAAAGAATGCCAATTGTCAACGAAGACAAAAATTTCACAGAAAGTTATTCAATACAATAACAAGAACACTATCCAACCAAATGGATATTTCATCTAAAAAATAAAATTAATGGTTTTCTAATTCGCCAAAAAAGACTAGGTAGTGCTAGCTAGACCTCATCGTAGTTGGAATCATTTAAATCTTCGTTATCATCCTTCTTGTCATCATCATCCTCGCGGGCCTTTTTTGTCGGACCAGCTGGTGGTAACTCTGGTAAGTCGGTACTGTCCCGAGCCGGTCCGATATCGGAACGTGTGGTAAAACCAGTTGCACCACGACCAACACCAGCAACGTAGCCCGCTGGTGCTGGCATGCCCAAAAAGTGTTTTTTCCGTTTGTTCACGAGGGAACCCGGGATGGTTACTGTTGTCATGTTCGCCTATAAATATTTGAAAACATAGTTTTTAAAGGAAAGAAAAAAAGATGCAACGAATCCTTTAAACAAGAATTACTAGCATTCTCAAAACATCATTTACAAAAGTTTTTATTAATCTTAAACGTTTCCATACCCCGAAATATTTCAGATACCAACGACTACTAAAACCCAACAGTTTATTAATTTTACAACTAAAGAATCTGGAAATTTTAATACTCCTGGTATGCTATCTTTATAGAAAAAAATACTCAAATAACAAAATAAGAATATTACAAACCGTTCATAAAAATACCGTTTCTAAATCAAATGATATTAAATTAGCATTGAACTGAGGAGAAAAAAAGAAATTAAGCAGCCAACTCACTAACCCCAACTTTAGCTTCTAACCTTCTACTTCAAACGCCATCAAAGCTTTCGGGATAATTTGCAACTACTGGTCCCAGTTTGCCAAAATTCAATAACAGTAGATCACGATAACTGGAGCGTTGCGAAAACAATTGATAGTAAGTACCCTTCCATCCATTTGTATTCTTACGTATATGTGGTAGTGTTCAGTCTTTAAGGGATGACAGATTAAAATTAAAGTTGTTATTTAGCTCCTACTTAAATTTTAACACATTAGTTTGTCATGCTAATAAGATTATAATTACTATTAGCATTGCTTATTTTCGTGTAACAACTTGGTATCATCCAATTTAACTAATCAAAAGAATAACTTGTTGTCAAGTAAATCTTGATTTAAACCAAACAATACCTAAGATTAAGCAAGTGTAGCGGCTGAATCAGTTAGTTAATTGACTAAAGTCAAAAAAATGTATAATTTGAATTATTCAATCAATGGTTGCTTAGATCAGGCAAAAATTTGAATTAATCAGTGATTGCTTAGCACGAAATATTTAGATAACTAAAATCAGTGAGCAGTTGTCTAAAATTCATTTTCAACAAATTTATATGTAGTCCTAAATCTATGGATGCAAAGAAAAAAAGTAATAATAAAGAATATAATTACATATATTCAAATTAAACGATTTCAAAATTGCAAAAAAAAAAAAAAAAACATTGCATTAATAACATTTACAGTATTTGTGTATTTTCTGCATGTGATCATAACTACTTTATACTGATAAATGATTAGACAAAAATTCTGATTTTTGTTTCACTGTTTTCATCATTGATAAAGTTGATTAATCAATATCTTGATCATAATTGGCTTCACTATTGATAATAGGTGCTGTGATATCATGCATTTTATGCATGATAGCGTCATATGTGTTGCAAAATTGTTGAAATGGATGATTTTCAATTTCATCACAAAGTGCAGCTTTTTGTGGCCAACCTTCTCGTAGTGTTTCCATACTTCGTGCGCAATAATTTTTCCGCATATTCCTATCATCGAATTTATTTACCGCCCTAATTAACATTGTTATCTCTTCCCTATATTACCTATTTTGAGTCAAGAAAAAAAAAAAAAGAATGTGAGAATTATTTAAAATAACATTTCAAACAGCTATTCTAAAAATTATTTTAAATAACTAGCAAAAAAAGTTCTTTAAATAATTTCAACTATGACTGTTTTAATGACGATTTTCTTCCTTTCGTTTTCTTTTGAATTTAATATAAATATTTGTTCGATATTATTTTGAAAAATTAATTGGAGAGTTAAATTGAACAGTTAAAAATTAATAAGATGAAATTTGAATTTTATATCAACTTTTTTTTCTGATTGAAATGAATGTAGTTGTTTTTTTTTTTTTTTTTTTTTTTTTATACTAGGAAGATATTTGCATTAAGTTGAAGTAATGATTGATAGTTATCTTATCAGAAGTAATTAATGAAAAGTGAACTTCACAAATTACAATATTATGTAATAGGTGTTAGAAGGAAAAAAGAGAAGATAAATGATTGATTTAATTATACTTCTCCATTTTAATTGAATTATTTAATTAAAAAAAAAAAACACAAATAAGCTTACGAAGAAAATTTACTGCTAATCATGCAAATCGGGCAACGCATAATAAAATCTTTTGGACGAAGCATAAATCCTTTACCGAATTGATCTATATTTCTGATTGTTGGGGCCTGCAAGTTTATTACCATTCTTCCAGTATATTTTAGAATCTTGAAAAATCATTACAAAACTTTAGGTGATAAGAAATTAATCATACAAGTTTAATAGTTTATCACTAATTGTTACTCTTATACACTTTTTAAATTCTTATAATTCTGAAAGTGTAATGAGAATTGGAAAAAATTTTGATTGATAAAAGTGGAATGAAGTTATTGAGTAGCTGAATGCAATTAAAAGCTAATAACTCACCAGAACTGAAGTTTGTGGAGATATCCCATATTTGCCGATGGAATTATTGAAAATACCTGGACAGGGACGATATTCACTTACGAAATCACTTGTATTTACCGCTATTTTCAGTGCATTTTGCCATAGTCTATATGATTTTGGATATTTTAGATCACATGGGATCTAAAATTAATTAAATTTACTGTATATTTGAAGGGTATATAAAATTTGCTTTGAATATTTCAAATCATCTGGAATACTAAATTCAAGCCATAATAACTTTAATTTCTAAAAAAAAAAAAATTAAATTTGAAAATTTCATAGTATCCAAAATTTTATAACTGTTAGATCAAAAGTTTAATATCAAAAATTTCATATGAACAAGAAAAACAAAAAAAATAAGAAAATTAAACAATTAAAAAAGAATTTTGGTCTAGTATGAAAATTTAAGCTAAGCAATTTTTGTTTTATTTCGTAAAATAAGTTTAATTTTCGGGTTAACCAAGAGAAAATGAAATTAACAAAATAAGATAAATAAAAAGTACTGATTGATTCAAATTAAAAACAAATAAACCATGTCAAGCCGTGAGGCGCATTTGTGTGTACCAGTTCGTCGCCGATGAAATCTTATCATAAAAGACGATTCATCATTTCCCCATCCACATTCTGACTACAGAAAAAAAAGAATTATCCATTTTAATTCACCCCCCCCCCCCCCCCCCCCCCAAAAAAAAAAAAAAAAAAAAAAAAAAGAATAAAACGAAGATAATTTCCTCAAAAATTCTTTCATTTTGAAATTCCTTTTTCCAAAAATTTTTAGAGTCACTTCAATTCTTACTAAACAAAATTATTAACAAAACCCGATTAAATTTTTTGCACATGCAAAAAAATAACTTATGAGTTATTCCCAAACTTAGATGATTTTTCTACAAAAAGAATTTTTTTTTTTATGAACTTATATATAAGTGGGGAAAATATGTAAATATTTTGAAAAACTTTTATTGTTTCGCATGTTTCGTCAATGCTAACTCTATCGAAATTAAGCATAGTTTATTAGAATTTCTTACCTATATTAAGCTTATTATCCTTATTGGGAAATTTTGAGTATAAAATAAATAGTAAAATTAAAAAAACTGTTAGAAATTAAGAAATATAAATTGAGCAGTTTTTCTTACAATATCATATTCAGTAGGCGGATAATATTTGCATGAAAAGAAGTTCGAAAAATTTGTATACTGAACTAATATATCATTTTCATGAATTAACCGAAAATACTTTTCCTAAAATAAAAATTGGTGATAATGAAGTTTTTTAACTTTTTCTTTTTATTTCTTTATTGAAACTAAATTGGTTAATATTCAAAATAATATAATTAATAAATGCCATTAAAAAGAGGAAGGAAATAACGTTAATATGCAAAAAAAAAAAAAAAAAATTAACATATCATTTGATTTTATAAAATAATATTTAAAAAAAAGAAAAAAAGATTTTTTTAAAAACTTAAAAATAATTAAAATTTCTAAGAAAAGTGTTTTAAAAAATGTTAGAAATAACGAAATGAAAAAAAATGGAAATGCAATAAAACAAACATTAAGATTAGCAGTACTGTGAAATTGTGCGAAAATAACAGTAATAATTAAGATAAAGAAAATAATTTGCATAGATAGCATTATGACACACTGCTGTCGTCGAAGAATATATCGTAGTAATCGTTCTGTTTTACTACGACTATGCTAAAATTAAAATTTCATAGATTATTAAGAAAAAATTTTTTAAAATGAATTCCACTTCTATTGTCTTTTCATTTTGTTCTGCTTTCTTTTGGCATAGTTTATTCATTTATTAAGTTGACACTTTCAGTTTAAATTTGACAAGAAATTAAAAAATGTTTGACTATCGTTTTCGTTGCTGATAAATCATTTAATAATTAAAATTTTAATTTTAAATTCCTATTTGCTTATCCTATAGTAATTTCTTTTGTACTCTAATCAAAAATTTTATAACTATTATAACATACAAATTAAATCAGTTTGATTTGATAGCGCATGCATTTTAGTAAATGCAGTTTATGCATCTATCTAAATTCATGCATTCCAAATAACCATTATTTTATTTTCAAATAAATGTCGTCTTTCCTATCTTCCTTCTTCCTCTCTCTCTCTTTTCCTCCCACCCTGTTCTCCTACAGAAATCTAAAATTAAAGTTGAGCAACTTTCGATAAAAAATACTAGTAATTTTAGTAAAGTGTTTATCAATTCTTTATTTTTAACTTTTTATCCTATATGTTTATGAAACGTCAACCTTTACAAGCTATTCAGATAATAACTATTTTAAAAAAAATTAAAAAAATACAGAATATGTCATTTTTTAAGAAACAACCGCTTTGAAATTTGCTTAAATTCGCTTATTGCTAATTTCAAAATACATTAGAAATTAATAGGTAATCGCAAGATTTTTGCATTCGTTATTTATATCAATTATTAAAAGAACATGACCATAACCTTTCTTGACCTTTACTCACTCATCTAGGAATAATAAGTTGAAAATCTTTGTTAACATTTAAATTACACTGTTGTTTTTCAACAAATTATTCCATAACAGTTATACAGCGATAAAAAATACAAAAATTTATATTTTACAATGTAAAATGAAAACATGCACTTGTAACTTATTTATTTGGTTCATTTATCTAATAAATAATAAATAAATAAGCAAACAAAGAAAATTAAAAAAAAAAAAAAAAAAAAAAAAACAAGTAAAGAAATTAAACTGTGACAAACTAATAAAATTAAATAAATAAATAAATTGGAAAAATATTGTTTAAATTATTTTCACTATAATGAAAAAAAGTTGCTGCTAATGCAGTACCGCTATTTACACATCATTAGTATAGCCAGTATTGTAATTGGGCTATTGTGACTTATGGAGAAATTTTTAACTATCCAAATGTTTCAGCTGAAAAAAGAAATCGACATAAAAAAGCGGATTTATGAAAAAATTTCGCAGAATTTCAAATCTTGTGGAAGATTAATACTCAACTCAGGATGCAGTTTGAGTTTAACTGCTGAAACTTTTTTATTGCATGTGGGGTCTAATATTTTGAGTATAGTCAGAAATACATAGAAATAGTCAGAAACGTTTTCTCATACAAAATTCTTTATAAAAGAATTTTTTGATATAAGAACTGTCTGCATGAATTCTGCGTTTTTACTTCATTTTGTTCGCTCATTTATTTTTGTGTTAAATTGTTTAATCTTATCTGATAATACGCTTGATCTGATGATATGTGCAATTAATGGAGAAAGTAATACATGACGATTCGTGACAAACATTCATTCCAACCTTTCTTAATGAAGCTTGACTTAGCGTACGGTGAATGAATCTCCCTGGATGATACGACCTCAGACTTATGACAAACGTTCACTTCAAACGTATGATCACTACGTGAACAGCAGATTAACGTCATTTCATCACTGGTACACCCAAGAATCGAACCCCGAATGACTTACTAGCGACAAGCCTTATAACAATGCATCATTTGCACCGGCCTGTATAGGCCATTTCGATCGTCTCAGAATGTAAAGCTGAAAGAAAATTAAATGTGAAACGTGTGGACATCACGGAACACTCACGTAATGCTCGAATGCGACAAATTTATGTATGATGAGCTTTTTTTTTGCACTTCAGTATGATAACTTCATTTCCAACTGTTCAACTTAGTATTGATTTTATTCAGTGCAATAAAACGAATTCATCAACAACAGTATCTAGACAAAATTGTTATGGTTTAGTAAAGAATAATCAAAGTACTTGATGATCAAAATCTAACAATTTGATGCTTAAATTCACGAAAAAAAAAAATTCACGAAAAACAAAATATAGGTCAAGAAGGGAAGTTCTATCGCGAAAATATGCTGAATAAATATAGAAATAAAACATTTCGAAAACATTTTGAACTGTATCAATTATCAATCAGCGTCGATATCGGTACCTCTTGAAGTAAAACCATAACTGGAATATACCATTAACAAACTGACACTTGTAGCCATGCTTATGGCTAATTTCCCATTCTCGATTAACACATTTAAAGGCTATATCTTCGTAGGGAGGCCCGGCATGAAATCTTATCACAGCAAAATCTGGGTCATCGCATGGTGTTACCGTGAACGTAGGCGTTTCTGTGACATCTAATAAATCGGGATAGAATATCTGAAGTCAATTCAGTTTGCATTACAGAAAGAGTTTTCAGGTAAAATTTTCAATTCAGTTTGTGGGATAAAGAGAACAATCCGAAATTTTTAATTTAGTTTGCGGAATGAACGGAACAACTAGAAATTTTCCATTATGGCACTGTAAATTACTTTCGGTAAGCCAATGTTAAAGTTATCTAATAATATTACTAGATTACTAAGTATTCTAGCATTCTTATGGTAAAGACATATTTTATTTACCAGATGTTAATATTAATCTTAACTTGATAAAAAAAAAAAAAAAAGCTCTTAAATGGTGTTAATTTAACAGACTACATAAGTTCAAAAACAGTTCAAAATTCTGATCAAAAAAAGTTTTACATTAAAGCGGTAACCCTGCACAATTTTTGGCGGTGGATTATCCATATCATAGTGAGTCTGATTATATTTATTCCACTCAAATCCAGTATGTACACGATTGAAATATCTGTAATTGAAAAGGTCGCAAAAGCTTTACATGTGGCAAGCAAATTTTGCAAGTGAAAAGCTTTGATTTACAGGTGAAAAGCAAATTAATCCTAGTAAGATAAAAACCACTAAAGATATTAAATATCTTTGAAACTGTTAAATCTTGAAATTCATGGAAAAAGAAAAATATAACTTCAAACGAGAACGAGTTTTTTAAGAACCAATATGCGACAGAAATTGGGCGAGAATTACCTTGGTTTCCGTGGTCGATATTTTTCAGACCAAAGAAAAGTCTGTGCTTCAAGTGGTGCTTCTACAGAAAATGCTGCCTCATCATTCGTCATGCCTCGGCGAGCTATCAACTCCATTTCTGCTTCTGCCGTCTACAGTAATAATAACAAAGTAACGAAATAGACTAAACTCAATTTTAATTTCTAATTGAAAATAACAGATAGAGAAAAGCGATGCCTCTATCATTCGTTCTTAGCATTGCTGACTGATAAAAATATTAAACAACCACCTGACAAAAATTTGAAAAAAAAATTACCGATAGACCAGCCGATGTAGAAGCTGCAGAGCCATTCTCGGCTTTGTCCATCATTTCCTCACGTTTCTGGATATCTTCTGCTTCATCCAAAATCTCGATACCTGGCATAGCTTCTTTTTCGTCACCATACGATGGACTATACAAACCACGTTCATACATTTCTAGTGTTAGAATCTCCATTTCGTCCTCTGTTAGAAGCCTAAATTCACTTATGATTTTTCAGTACTAGAAAATTTTCATAAACAGTTCAGTACTCAATAAAATTTATTCATGAAATTTATTCATGGAAGCCTCTAACTGATCATTCCATCATAGGCTCTGATCAACTTCTATCATGATATAATACTACAATGAACAAAACCATTTGATGCGCAATATACTTTTTATTTATTTCCTCCAGTTTAACATATCAATTTCAAGAAGAACAAAGAAACATAATCAAACTTCATTGAAACATACCGCCATTGCTGTTCTTTAACATCATCGTCCATAGCATCCAATTCATCCAGTTGTACAGACAGTGTTTTTAACTTAGCTGACTGTTTCACTCCATTCGAACCTTCTCCACGTTCCTAGAATCATTTCATTAGAGAAATTCTGATATTCATCCTTAATACAAATTAAATCAAACTAAGTACTACCTGTCTGGAGACCTGTTCTGGTTCATATTCACGCCTGTCCTTTTCAGTCTTTTGCTCTTCTTTTATTTTTTTTAGTCTACACCGCAATATTTCCTGATGTTGCTCATGAATACGAGCTTTTGCCATATATACATGAAGATGCTGTAGTGTAAATTCCAAGAATTCTACATCTACGCCAGGTTCACCACTGTGAATCTTTTTTTTGATCTGGGTTTCCAACAGTGCTAATTCTTGATGAGTTTTGCCCTGAAATACTATTTGATAATATTTTGTTTCGCAAAAAGTCTTTGTATTGAGTCAGTTTTATTGCTATCCCTTGCTCGATCATTTTTCTTTTTTCCGAAATCATTTGCAAGTGATATATTAAAGCAAACAACATGAAGGTATTTTATTTCCTCAAAAAATTCCAAAATCTATGCTGCCATTACCAAATGCTTGTCAAAAAATGTATTAATTTGCAAAGATAATTCACTTCGTCATAATGTCGTACAAAATTGTGGACAAGCAAAACATGCTCACCTTGAATAGCTTGGTAATATCATTCTGCACAGAATTATGAACTGATTCTCTCGCGTAAGTTGAATTAACATCATTAGACAGCTTTCGTATTTCATGCCGAACAACTGTACAAAAATCAGTCCACCAGACTGAATTATCAGTTGGATCCACTCGTCGATAAACCTATAAAAAGGACTGCAAAAAAGCAGCACAGAAAAAATAAGAAAAGATGTCACTAGGTAGCTCGATAAGATATGACACTAAAAATTGCAATGATTATGAAAATATAAAGCGAATGGAGTTAAGAAGACAGAAAATACCTTGATATCCTCTAGCAAATCTTCCAGATCTCTAATTTTAAGTCCCCTCAGATAAGTTACTGGATCAACAAGCTCGAATTCTTCATCTTTTATATTTTCAATCTTTTCGTTGTCATAACTAATATATCTATAAATATTAGAATGATAAAAGAAAAACTCTAGCAGCTGACGAAAATATCATCCAGCAATTAGTGAAAAAAAAATGCAGTTAATCTGAAAATGGTTTCAGAATATGAAATGAAGCAGTAAAAACCGGCAAAATCAAAGCACCTGGCAAGAAAATCGATAGGCTTTGCTCGTCCCTCTTTTAGCCTGATCTGTGTACGTAATTTAGCCTGACTAAGTAAGAATCCTTCTTCTGTTGCATACCAGTCCGAGTTATGTCGTCTTTCCTCATCCCTTTTGATCATTTCTAGATCTTCCCGAGCCGCATCTCGTGCTTCTCGATTTCGTTTGAGCTCTTCCATTTCTGCTAAGTTCTTCATAGTACGATCTCTATTCCTATATTGAATGACATTAATAAAGGAGAAAAAATAAAGTTTAATTATGATAACTGACCGTCCAATGTTCCAATCTTTGTACAAAAACTGCATAAAAATTAACAAGCTTTGTATCAAAACTGTATCTTTCTTTAGATAAATAACTAACCAAATGACCTGAAACATGAGCTTACTGTAACCTAACCAATTAACTCACATTTTTTCAATTTGTTTGAGGGATAATTCAGCCTTGCCTTCAGCTGCCAATTTCTTAGTCCATATAAAAGTAGACGTTAAATTTGGGTCGTTAAATGGATTATTTGTGTTAGTATATTTGGCTTCATCATCGAACGTAAAACCTGACTCCTTTTCTGCCTTCAAAATCATAAGTGAAAGTCAGATAATGTGTCACTTCACAACGTAGAAGATTTGAGATCTTCAAGTTTCATAGGAATAAAATCACTTTCTTACTCGGATAAGAAAATCACAACCAGAAAACCTTTTTCAATTTTTTTGCTAAACGTCTGGCTTTTTTTTCCTCCGAAGTTTCCATCTCTTTCTTCTTTTCTTTTTCTTTCTTCTTCTTTCGTTTCTTCTCTTCTCGTAATGCATTCAAACGTCGATCGAATCGATTGTCCTAAAAATAATGAGAAGTATTATACGTCAACCATGCAATTAAGTCTGTTTTGTGGAAGTCACTTTTAGAATACAGTCTACCATATCTATCATATCAACCAAACCAAAATCTATAATAATAATTAACGCTAACAATGAAATAAAATTAGTGAGGAAAAAAAAAAGCGAAAGCGTATTAAGAAGTTACAGATCAAGACAGTAACAATACCTTATCAGAATCGGAGCTTGATGAATTATGATCATGATGTTTCTGTTGCTTTTTCTTCTTTCGTTTCTCGTTATCACGTTCACGTTCATGTTTTCTTTTTCTCTTATTTTTTTCTCTATGTCCCATTTTGTCTATAGAATACACTATGTAAACATCAGCTAAATTTATTTTCAAACTATTATAGTTATATAAATTTAAGCCAAATAATTACTCATTTTATTATATTTGTAAGAAAACTTAAAACTTTATAAATAATCAAATCATGAGATATTTGACGATGATTTAACAATTATGCAAAAAATAAAGCTACCAAATGGAAGTGAAACTTGTCATAAAACTTTGAATAAACAATTTATACGACAAGAAATAATAGTTAGCATATAAAAAGAGAACAAAAAAGGAATCTCGCAGTAAGCAACCAATTCGTTTCACTCATCGATATAATACGGCCCGATATGGCTACTAATACAAATCGTATCGGATATGAATATTTTGATGGAAATTAAACGAATAAAATTATTTGATAGTAACTTTAGAGGAGTATATGCTTCCTCTACTAAAATAATCAATGATTAAATTTAAATCATAGTTCAGGGTGAAAAACACGGGAAAAGTAAGGGTTTCCCAATCACAACAAAACGGTATATCCACCCCGACCTCGGCAGGAGTCGAACCTGCAATCTTCGGTTCCGTAGACCGACGCGTTATCCATTGCGCCACGAGGCCAAACGTTAGGTCCAGTATTATTTCTTATGTCCTTTCTTGAAATGATTTTTACTTTTAAATGGACGTAAATGAAGGATAAAAAGTGTGAAAGCAAATTGAATTGATTTATCTCGTTATGCAATTACTTACTTACATTGAGTGTTGTTGTGCAGTTTGTTCTTGTTTATTTTTCTTGTTTTTATTTTTGTAAAATATCAAGTTTAGTAATCCCTTTAGATATATCTAATTCATAATTTAATTTGGCGAAGTGATAATCATTATTAGATCTAGCTGATAATCTTAAAAATTATGCGAATATTACATTAAACCAAACGGATACATATATGAATAAATGCTTCTATTCTTAAAATTCGATTATTTATTATATTAAAGATGTACGTAAGTTTATTTATATATGAACGTGCTATATATATCAACGGATACAACATGTTTGTATATGAGTAATAGGTGTATTTACGATATATTCACTAATAGTAAAATGTATGTGCATATTGAGTAGCCATTATTTCATTGGTATATTCAGTATGTAAGAAGTTATATTACCTTGTTATATCTTAACTTGTAGATTTTTCTATCATCAACAAAAACAAAATGAAAAAAAGACGAAAATTTTCCAAAGAGTGAAATTTTCAGTTAAAAATTTCGAAAGCAAAATGGTAGTTTTTCTTTTTTTTTTTAATTTTAAATTAAAAAATTGCGTTCACAAGTGATTTAAGTGATAAAGAAAGTAATTAGTTACTACGGTGATAAAGAACATGTGCTAAAAAGTTGAAACAAGAAGCAATATTTGATATTTTGAATTACAAACATTTAACATATTTTGAATCATTGTTAGTGCAGCGGTGACAAAATATTTTCTAAAAGATTACACGGTTGCAAGTAAATTAATGTTTTTTCTTGGATTAACAATTCGTTTTTGACTAGACGCATAATGTGAAAAGATGTTTCGCTTCATTTTCAAGCATTTTTTCAATTCTGTAATGTGGTGTTTGAATAATTTTAAATTAAATAGACATTCAAAGATAATTGCAAAACCTATTTTTGGCTCCTAATGATTATGTACAAACAACAGAAGAATGGACAATGATAAATATCAAAATTCGCTTGTAACATTTACATTATTGAATAATTCTTATTAATTAGTAACTAATTGATTTTGTTGGATTATTAGAAATTTTGCAAAAACATTCATCAAGCAAAATGAAAAGCAAGAAAAGAAATGAAGATTTCTTGATGGAATTAAACTACAGAAATAATTTTGGTACATTTTTTTTTTTCGTTTAATGAAATGAAATAATTACAGTTTATCGGTACTTTTTAACATCAACGAAAATAGTTGAATTTGATAACAATAAACAGACTCTAACAAAGATAATTTATAGCTAAATGCATAAGTTAATAATTGTTTTCACTTTATTGGATTGAAGTAAAAATACCTTCATTGAACAAAATTTTCATGTATATATTGACAAATTCACAATTTTTAAATTTTCTTTAGTTAGAAGGTTAGAATTTGAAATTATTGTAGCAGAGTTTCCTGGTAGAAGTAACCGAGTAATTTTATCTAAACTGTCAATCTTATGACTATTTCGTTCTAAATCCTTATAATACCCATCTTCAAAATGAAGTAGCTATTATTAATGCAATTAATCAAAACAAAAGATAAATTATCCGTTAAATGTTATCAGTTGTTATCAGTGGAAATCAGCGTAGGAAGAAAAGTATTAAATTAACAAAAGTAAAAAAAAAATGGAATCTTCATTAGTTTTATCTAATTCCTTTTGAAAATTCTGTTAATTATTTTGTCAATGTAACTGAAAAATATGTAAAAAGTGGACATTTATGATAAATAAATAAGTAATAAGAAATACTTAAATTTGTTTTTATTGCCCCAATTTTTTTCACTCATATAAATCATAAATGAGTCGGTCATCTCACAAGTTTCCGTAATAACATGTAATGACTATATGATATCACTTTGTAACTTTGCTTAAGGTATAATTACCAGTTAGAACGATCTGGAAAACAAAAGTAGAAGAAGAGATGATAATAAACGGAATAGGTAACTCGTTGTAAACAATGGATTAAAGTAAGCTATCAGTTTAATCAGCTTTTGTATTTTGTGCAATACTCCTTAGACACAATAATTCTCAGATATCTTGGCCAATTCAGATTGTGTAACTAAAAAGTCATCCAACCAATTCAAGTGAACTTTTTTAGTTTTAAAAATATTTTGGGCTTTTTTTTAAAATGATTTTATCGTAATTTAGAGTAATTTTAGCTCAAAATTTTAAACAAACATATTATGAATTACAATAAAATTAGGACTTTACTTTATAATTAGTAACATCCATTTGGTCAGATTAAATTAGCAAATAATTAGCACTAATAAAATTAGTAATTACAATTTGTTTCATAAGAATTCCGAATTTTTTTTTTTTTTTTGCACTATCAACTAATTAAACATTTCTTGCAGTGATTACAAACTTCTTCAGCAATACTCATCGTTGTACCTTTTTTTACAACGTTTTTGATATTTTTAATGGAAAAAATAATTTTCAAATTTAGTAATGTGTATACAAAAGCAAAATTGTATCTATATTATAATTGTGCAAAGGTTAAGAAAAAAAATAATCAGAGGTAAAGTAATAAAAAGATTGTATGTATAAATAATACATTTCAGGTACTATTGTATTATCATTGATGAAATCAATTAATCAAAATCTAAACAAAAAAATCAATTATACTGTAAGAAATACTTCATATTCGGGCAGAATTAGAATATTATGAATAAATTATGCTGTAAACAACAATAATATATTATTAATTTAATCTAATTATGCATATCGCTGCTTAAGCCTTGCAAAGTAATTAATTTGGGAAGCTTATTTTAAAAAATTTCATATATTTACTGCTTCACTATACTTTTAGCGTTCATTAATTTGTACATAATATTAATCTTTTATTCGCCTTTTTTCTGGAAAAAAAAGAAATAATTAAAATCACAAAATTAAAGTTGAATTCAAAACAATTTTTGTCCTTTTTTTAAAAATATACTTCAGTGCTTTTTTTTTTTTTCTAATGAAATTTTTAATATTTTATGCAACTAAAATGTTCTCAATAGCAGTAAGAAAAAAAAAAAACCGTTTGCAATAATAATAAAAGTTCGTGTTAAATTTTCAAAAGAAAATTTCAGGAAATGGATCTATTAACAAGCTGTAATGGCAGTTTCGATTAAAAAGAAAAAAATTTTTTTTATCAATTAGCAAATTTGTAAAGCGTGAAAAAATTTTAAGATATGCATGTTTAAGTAAAATTATGACGCCATAAACGATTAAGCATTTTAGCCCACCAAAAAAAAAAAAAAAAAAAAAAAAAAAAGAGGCAAATGATATTCCTATATCAGTCATTTCAAACAAACTTATTTTAAAAATAGTTAGCTCATTAGTTGATGTCAACAAAATATTTTTATAACATTTTTCGTTTTCGTCAATTATTGCTTCGATTAACTTCATAATTTAATAGAATAAATTTAGTAATACTCGTAACATTCGTAATTTCATTTTCCTTTTCTTTTTTTTTTCTTTTGATTATTTAGAATGGAGCAAGATAATCTGAAATTACCTAATGTACAGAAATTTAACCAATTAATTTTCATAATTATTTCAAATAAATTTTATGAAATTGTACTGCTGCAAAAATTTTCAAAGCTCAGTGAAAGTGAAATGAAATGCGAATAAAAATAGGAAATTGAAAGCGCTTTCCTTCTTATCATTTCGATTATTTTACATTTTTTTATTTATATCTTTATAATCATTTGTGATTTGTTTATTCTTCTTTTTTGGTGTCTATTTCGAAAAATATTTTAATTTTAAACTGATAGTGATAAATAAATTTTCAAAAAGCAAACTCCTAATTGACTGACTAAATAAAAAAGTAACTATTAATAAATAATTCATTATTAAAAATATTCTACTTTTTAACAATTCAAAGCAAATTAAATTGCATACTAATATGGTAAATTAAATTTTCAACTCATGAAAAATAATAGAAATGATATCAAATTAATTGTACGTTTAAGAAAATTTTCACGCACGTACACAAAATGATTAATTTGTAATTACAATAATACAATAAATAATTTTTAAGGGTATATAATTAACAAATTCTACTAAAATTGATATATATTTATGGCAAAAATCTTGTCAACGGTTTTTCTATTATTCTTCATCACAAGTAACATTAATGGATTACCGCTGGATCATGAATGGAAGCCTAAATTATCGGCGGAAAGAGTTAAATATATAGGTTATCAGTTTTTCTTTTTAAATTTTGATTCAAACTTGATAAACAGAATTCATTCAAGCTTTTGTAAAATGTTTGATAAATGAATTTTTTTTCGAACTTAATAAATGAAATCATTTAACCTTTGTAAATTCCACAAAACACATGAATTTTATAACTGAGAAACTTTAAGAAAGTATGGAACGCTTTTAATTAAGGTTATTAAGCATCATCATTCGCATCTGTAGAAATCTGTGTGTTTTTTATTTTTAAAATTAAACAACATTATTTCTATTATTATTATTATTATTATTGTTATTGTTATTATAGTTTAAAAAAATGAGTATTTTCAAAATGATACTGCAATAGAAACGCTGCATGCCTTCAAGTAATTTAAGAAAAGAAAATTTTTCTTTGCTCATTCTCAAAAGTGATAGAAACTAAATTATAATGATAATTATGTGATATGATTACTTTTAAGTGTTTTTTTTTTCTTCCTTTTTGAGGTTTAGCGTTTGTTTTATATTTGTACAACAAATAGTAGCATTTCATGCTGTAATATTTAACAAATAGAATTAAATTATAATCATAATCAAAATGCAGCAATAGTGTCAAATAGTAAGAACAAAATTCAACATTACATTAGATAAGTGAAGTAATTCTTTGCCCTTTTAAAACAGTTTATTATTAAAAAATATTCTTAACTTAATTTAGTAATTATCATAAACTTATGATTTAGAAAAATAATTATAATTCAATTGCTGTAACATAAACAATTCTTAAATAATTCCTTTTTTTTTTGAAGGATTAATTTAATTTTTTTTTTTTGTAACATTTATTGTTAATAGATTTTTAATCAAACTTTTTTTTTTAATTTGATTAAAAATCGAACTGTTAAAAACATTGGCATAAGGAAAGGTATTTTATTTAAACTTATTTTAAAAAACAAAAAGAAAAAAAGGAAAGGAAAATATTATCCATATTACAGGTAATTGTCTAATAATTGCAGGTAACAGTTTACGTCCTGGACGACCATTAAAGCGAAGCAGTTATGCAGATTTCACGGATTTTCATCCAATGGATTTTAATATGATTGGCGGTAATTTTTATTCACTAACTTTGTATCAACAAATGTTAACTTTTATTTCCTCTTTTTTTTTTACTTGAACGTGAAAAAAAAAGTTTTTCCTTTATTTTAATTATATTAGCCGTGAGATCGGCTAATTAACTTGCATATATTCAAAATATTGACATTTGGAGACGTTTCCTTTTTTTGTAATTTTTCAAAATAGTATCTTTAGCAGTCATAAAATGTATGAAGTCTAGTTGTTTTGATAAAACTTTGAATTTACTTGATTTCTTTTTTTGTTCATTTCTTAGCAAACGTTTGATATTGTCATGTTTATGTCACTATCAAAGAATAATATATTCTCCGTTTCACATAAAAAAGTATTTTTTAAAAAAAAGTAAATTTTTTTTCTAGAACTGAGAAATATTTTTTTTTCTAAGGATCATACACTGCTCGTGTTTTGAACATTTTTCTCAAAAAAAAAGTATTTTAAATTCTTTGCAATTCAAAAAAAAAGTACAATCAGTAAAAAAGTACAATCAGTAATTTAGTTTTAGATGAAATGGTCGTTGAATTTGTGCCAAAATACGACATCTGGCAATTATATCGTCCAAAACGAATATTGGATATACGTCGCTAAAATGGAATCAAACATATCAAATGAATATGAATGATTATGAAAATCATCAACTATCATTCATAATCATTTCCAGGCTAACATTATCTATTGTTCACTTAGACTACAACTGCTAGTGAACTATAAAATAATAAATTGGATAATTAAATACTTAATTTTATTGGCCAGAAAATTATATTATGAGAAGTATCATTATGAGAAATACTTTGACGAAAGAGCACTTTTGAAATCGGTATATTATATACACACATACACATACATACATAACACAAACACACACACACACACACACACACAAATACATGGATAGATTCTGTTCTAAAACTATTGCAACATTAACATACTTTATTGACTGATTGAGCAAATATTTGACCATCTAAAATATGCATAATCCACTGTAAAGTGAAAAAAAATAACATAGAACATTCATCCTCTAATCTAACAGATCAACATATGATAACAACAATAACATGTCACATTATTTCTCCACTTTATATCTTATCGATTACCATTTAATCAAATACCGGTAATTTTTAGAATATTTCGAAATATTTGATAGACTAAAATGAAAGAGTTGAATATCTTAAATCGTATCATTCTTCACCAGTAACATTTTCATAGCATTAATAAATACACCAAAAAATATGAGAATGTACAAATTACAATATCTATCAGATTCAAAAAAATAATATTTGGAAAAATTTAAGAACAATTACACTCAAATCTACAATTAACAAAAAAATATATTATTCTCTATTTTTATTTCTTTTTTCTTTTATCGTCTTCTTTTTCGTCCGCTTCTTTCCATTTTTTAATAATTTGTTGTTGAATATCTGGGGCCAATGGTGCATACCTGAATGATTAAAATAAATTCTCGACGATAGTTGCATTTATAATAGTAGGCAGTAGGACTAATTGGTCAGACTAGCGTGACTTTTTTGAACCAAATGAGCACAACATAATGGTCAAAATTAAACAGCTCGTAATATTACAGTAATTGTAAAAAAAAAAAAAAAAATGGTACTACTCGTAAAATAGGGATTTGCAAGTTTTTGTTGCAATATTTACGACTATTCGTCCTTTCTTTCTAATCTTTCACGTGTGGAAAAGGGTGAAAGATCAATATCTATGTTGCTCAGTCTCCAAAAAACCTCTGCACTAGCACTTTTTTTTCCAGCTGATATAATATTTCCATTTTACATTTACACTCCGAATATTATTAGAGTAAAGGACATAGATAATGTAACAAATTGTGTTACTTTGCTTGAATTACCTGGCGAATTCCATTACATATTCCCCTTTTCCTTTTGTCATTGTCCGCAATTTCGTCGAGTAACCAAACATTGATCTTAGCGGGGCCTAGAAAATGCTTTCAAAGAATGCCAAAAATGCAACAAGAATTTAGATTTTAACAATCTTCAAATTCCAAATCAAAATTTGTGTAATGTTCTGCATTGACCTTGATGAAACGAAATAACTTAATTTCACCATATGCAAACTCACTTCACATGTTAGTGTCAAATAGCCACCAGAAAGTGATGAATCCAACAGGATAGCACCTGATGACAGTGTGCTCGAAATTGAATTCTAAACATATCAATTATTTTATTGCAGAAATTGGTTCAACAACTAAGAAGAAAAATTAAATCGGAATGGTAAGCCTACGCTACCTGAAACTCCTCTGGAATAGTTATATCCACTTTCATTATAGGTTCCAACAATTTCCAGTCAGCTTTCAAAAATGCTGAAAAATGTATGCCTATAATGTAACAACGCAATGATATGTCAAACATTTTGATTTCTAACAGTTGTAACAGCTAATATTTATAATAGCTGTTTTTACTGTGATGAATTGTCATCAAAATGCTGAACTAAGCTAATGCAATGAAAATTTTGATTCAAAAAAGACGGTAAATAGGAACCAATTCTTTTGATCGGATATCTATCAATCACGTAGCAGAACTACTAACCTTCTCTCATCATATTCTGCATGGTATTTATCATAGCAATATCAGTCGAATCAACTTCATGCGTTTTACCATCCTGAAGCCGAACTTTGATTCCAGCAATTTTGGTATGAATCAGTGGACCCTCATTTAACATCATATTGAAGCCCTGAAAATTTCCAACTACTTTCATCTTCTAATTTCCGCTTATGCTTTTTCCCACTTATTCTTAGCTTTCGTTCGTTTATATCAATCATTTATGGTACACTCGTAATTTATTTATATCACATGTTTTATAATCTTAAATCAATCACTAATATACCATTAAATTTAGAGTTAGTAAAACTTACTTTCTTCAGCGGTACAATAAGATTTTTCGGTATGTTATTCCCGATTGTTTCATCAGTAAATTCAACTTCCATATTCCGATTCGGTGGCAATGGTTCTATTATTCCTTCAATTTCACCAAACTGTCCTTGACCTCCAGTTTGTTTTTTATGTCGATAATAAAATCTTAAAAGATAGATTTGATATACGACAGCAAAATATAATGACGATATAAAATATTCAAATATACTGAATTAAAAATATTAATAGAAAAACTGATATTGCTGCAATTGAAAATTGTCGAAAGCTCCTTTTATGTTCCAAACAAATAGTTTCCCTTTGCTACTGCTAATCGAATATTTTCTCATGTATGCGTAATTTCGGTGAGTAATGAAGGAAAAAATAAAATGAGTGAAAATTAAATATACCTGTACGGCTTCGCAAGAGTTTCACGGTAAGCAACCGTTGGTGCACCTAATATAACAGGACAATTAAACTCGTTTTTCATACGTTGAGCATAGATTTCCTGGAAAGAAAGAACAGAAAAAAAGAAAAAAAGGAAGGACTGAAAGAAAGAGTGAAAATGTTAAAATGAAAGAATTCGAAAGTATACCAAATGTAATTCGCCCATTCCAGAGACTACGGTTTCTCGCGCTTCAGTATTATATTCCTTACGGAATGTTGGATCTTCCTTAGTGAAACGGTTTAAAGCTTTCATAAATTTGTCACCATCTTTGTTATTTACACATCGAATAGACATGGAAATTACTGGTTCCGGAATATGCATTGATTCCTGAAAAGTGCAATTCTTCAGACTTAAAATGGGCATATGCAGAAGTGAAATAACCTTCTCTACTACAATGGATTTGAGATAACATGCATTTAAGCAAGGAAATAACTTACGCAATAAACCTCGCAATCACTTTCGCCGCAAAATGTTTCACCTGAGAAACATTCTAAACCATACGTGGCACAAATATCACCAGCAAATGCAGTATCGATTTCCTGCATAAAAAAAACATAGGGCTTTTTTACAAAAAAAAAAGCAAGTCACCAAAAAATAAAAATTTTACCTGCAGTAAGTTGGCATGTATTCGAACCAATTTTTGCACGCGTACTTTTCTACCATCTTTTGAAGCATAAATAGTATCACCGCGGCATAACTGCCCTTGATATACACGGAAATAAGTTAACTGCCCAAATTTTCCAGCCTATAGAATATCTTAATTATAAATGTCACTTCTTTTTTCTTTTTTTTTGTTTTTGCTTTCGTTTTTTTTGTAAACGAGATTTTTTGCAAGAAAAACAAGATAGAAACTTGTTGTAACAATTTTTAAATCTGTTTTGAATAAATTAATCAAATGATCACACAAAAATATGAAGAATTCAACCTCTAATTTGAATGCAAGACCAACAAACGGCTTACTGTTGCTGCGCTCTGGATTTAGCACAATTTGTTCCTCTTTCCTGGTCCTAAAATATTAATGCCTTTCAGCACAGAGCTTAAGAAAACGACAGTTATGAAAAGAACAAGCAAGTCAAAGTCAGCGAAAATAAATAAATCAGAAAGTGAAAGTAAAAAGAGAAATTTCAAAGCCATGACCTTAAATCTATTTTTCTAAACCCCATAAAACTTTAAATTTAATTTCCTAAAAATTAATATTTGTAATTTTGTAAGTACTTACACTCTGTTTAATGTCGAAGCATGATTCACCACTTCTGATGGATTGGGCAAGTACTGAACAACAGCATCAATCATCGATTGGACACCTTTATTCTTTAATGCGGTGCCAACAAGCATTGGTACAAAGGTTCTCTTGATTGTAGCTCGACGAATAGCTTCTTTAATTTGACACATAGTTGGTGTAATATCACCAAGCCACTGTTCCGCAATAAGATCATCACCATTTGCAAGATATTCTGTAATTTTATGATGCAAGACGACTTATTAATGATTCATTGATCCAAGGAATCAAACAAATGAGCAAACAACGTCTTATTCCTTATTTGTAAAAATCAAAGAAGTAGAAGTTCAATAACAACAATGTATTTTACATGCGTAAAGAGTTCTGTCATTAAAAGAATTATCAGATTCTTGTACACAGAATGTTGAAATTTTCTATTTACAACTAATCATTTTATATCATAAAAATATGGAATTGAATTTTGGAAGACTAGCATATGAAAAAGTTAGGATAAATGGCTACATATATAGAAATAAGAATTGATCGTTTCACCTATTAATTCTTGACGCATATCTTTAGCTTGCATCCTCAATTCAATCGGTATTTCATCTCTTCGTAATATGCTTCCATCCAAATCGTCGTTATACACTGCTTGTTCGTCGATCAGATCTACGATACCCTTAAGGTAATGCATAAAGGTCAAAAAGAGATAATGTATAAAAAGAAAAAAGTGACAGTAAATATTCTATAAGTTGAATAATAAAGGGATGTCTTTTCATACTCAGAACAAAAAGCATCTCTTTACTGAATATTGATTTTGGTGTCGTGCTGTCTTGGACATTCCAAGAACTCCTGAATACAATGAGAACAAAAATCAGTCAAAGACGATCGACGGAAATCATACCACTTAATCACTTAATGCTATATTTAGGAAATAATAATTGTATAAAAGCAGGAAAATATCGATTCCATTTAGAAATCTACCGCCAATATGTTTTATAAATAATCAGTTGATCTAGATAAACCTTGAAGCCGTGTTCTTTTCCGATCGGTATTTGCAACAAGGCTGCATTATGTTTCAATTTTGTTCGCATATCATTTAATGCTCTGTAACAAATCACAATGTTTTTATAAGGTAATGCCTAAATGTTGAAAAAAAAAAAAAGATTTAAAACACCATACTTAAATGGATTTGCACCGGTTCGATCCAATTTGTTGACAAATGTAATGAACGGTACATTGTAACGTTCTAGCTGTCGATTGACAGTGAATGTTTGGCTTTGTACTCCTCCAACACCACAAAGTACTAATACAGCACCATCCAGCACACGTAATGCTCGTTCAACTTCCACCGTAAAATCAACATGTCCTAATTTCATTCAAATCCGTATAATAGATTAAGAAATCGATCTTATTTATCGGTGTTATCAGTTATGTAAGGTTTGATTGCAAATATGTGGAGTAGAATGAATGAGCTTACAATCCCTATGTTATTTGCACTGTTCTAATCCATATATCAAAAGAAAAGAAACAAAATCACTTCTCGTGCACGATCCACAATCAGAATAAAAGAAATATAAACCTGGAGTGTCAATGATATTAATATTTACACCATTCCAATCAACATAAGTTGCAGCTGATTGAATGGTGATTCCTCGTTCCCTTTCCAAATCCATAAAATCCATTGTTGCTCCAACTTCATCTTTTCCTTTTACCTGAAATGAATTTGCTGTGTTTTATTTTTTTTTTCTTAAGTATCAGTTTATATTTTACTAAATTATGTCGTAATTTTCATGATGCTGGAATGCTGCAATAATTGCAAAGAAGGAAAATTATCTCAACAGAATAATATTGCTGTAAAAATCAAGCAATGTAAGATCATATAGCAAAAACGAGTTAGCAGGAAATATGCCATTTACAAAATATGCCTGGAGCTACTAAATTCTTTAAGGTTTATTGAACTGAATAGATATCTATACATCATATTCTACTGAGATAAAACACCAGTTTCTTTGAGAATGTACGACATAACTATTGAATGACTTTGAAATTAAATGATTTTATTAAAATCGTACTTCATGCATCTCCTTAATTCGACCAGCATAGTACAAAATTCTTTCCGTAACAGTAGTCTTTCCGGAGTCAATATGAGCAGATATACCTGGAAATTTTGTGAAATTAAACAACTGGGAAAACTCTGCCAATCTGTCGATCGCATAGATCATGTCGCATTTCCTTTACTAATTTTCTTCAGACTAAAAGTAAACTGCATGAAAAAATGAAGAAAAAACAAACAAACCTATATTTCGAATTTTCTCCAATGGTTTTGTTCGGCAGGTAGGAATAGGATCGGTACGTGCCGTAGCTAAATTCCTCCAATTCACAATAAGCTGCAAATATATATAATAAAATTAATATAAAACAATTCTTGAAGACCCAAAGATATAAATTTCTTTAAATAAACTTAGTTGCTCTGTTCCATCAAACACTTTACTAAATGCTTTTTTTAATGCTATTTTCCTAATGTCGAATTACTATAGCCGCAAAAGTGCACCGCCAATAAAAGCAAAGAACGGGAAAAACATGAACTCAAAAGTATAAAAAAAAAGCTTGGTGAGATTAAACAATTAGATATCTGATCTTACTGATTTGATATCCAGCGTAACACGTCTACTTCGACTTAATACCATTATGAGTTGCTGTTTTCAACTTATATTACTCTCGTGATAGCTATAATCACATTTAGTGAACCTAAAATAATGCAAAGAACCACAGACCGATAGCAAAAGACAGCCTTTTCCAAGTCCAAAATTACAGAACTTCAAGTACAGAAGTTAAAATCTTCATCATTTCCCTTTTCCCAGCAAATCAAGAAAACAAGATACTTGAACATTTAACAACTTACCCTCACTGAATAAATGGACAATAAATATTTATTCATACATTCTCCATAAAATGATGCATGGTAAGCAGAAAACTACTTATTGATGAACCAGAAAAAATCTGTTAATTTTCAAATTATCAAGATTCATCAAAAACAGCTTCCAATTATTAAATACAACAAAACGGATATGAGAGCGGACATGAGTTTGATTATCTAATCACATTCCAAATAGCCCCACAAGTAGTGGAACCACTTTTCCTAAATCACTTGAACTTTCATTAACAAAGTCAGTTAATCTTTGATAACACATGAGCTCTTTTTTCAGTATTCTGGAATAAAGCTTTCACCAAATGGCGCACTTCATCTGCATGTAACCACAGTGCCAGAGGTCCTTTTCCATCGCACCAACGATCATAAATATTCTAAATTAATCAATTATGTTAACGAACTGGACGAAATACAGCGGTCGTGTCGATCAAATTTTATCAATCCGTTCATTCATATATGAATGAAAAGTGGTCATAAGGACAAATTAAAAATGCAGACCTGCAAAGATGAATCCAGACAAAACAATAACTCCTTGATGCGGAAATATGAAGATCCGGTATATTTATGAATGAGAGAATGCTTCGACTGTTCAATCTAAAAAAATATTTACTTGGTGTCGAATGTTACTAAGCACTGACAACGAAACTATTCTTAAAATGAAACTTCCGCAGTTTTACTGTAATAAATTTATCAAAGCATAATGTTATTACTGAAAATTAAGCGTTCCGATAATAATAACTATTGGCACTTTTGACAAAAAAAAGAAACCAAAAAACCAAAAAAAAAAATTAGAAAGCGTTTGAGAAATAAAGTCACTAGATGTTTATCACCCACAAAAAATTTTTAGCATTACTTAATGAATTTTGCATTTTCTTGTTTTATCGCAGATGATCAAATAAAAATAGACGCAGTTCTGAAACTTACAACAAATAACATCTCCGATCTCTTCAAAACTTTCCTCAGTGTTATGACACTTAGCTCAGCATCAGATGATCGAATATCCTCCGTAGACAACAACATTTTGATCAGTGTGTTGAAAAAAAAAGAAATGACATTGCCAAGACAGCACGCATAAACTGTTTTGGTCAGAACCTATAAAAACTGCATTTCAGTTTAGAAATATACTTCTAAAATATTATAAATCCATGTAACGAATAAACACCACCCGCGATGTAGCACATATTCCTTGGAAATCAAATAATATTAAAGTAAGAGTAGTTAAAACCAAAACGGCTAATAAATTTACCTTTTTCCAAATCCCAGAAATTTGCTCTAGATTCATCATACAGCCATCCAAACATTTCATGCATTTTTCACATTGAGAAACGTCATCCAAGCCAAGAAAGACTGGAAATTTTTTCAAAAAAGGTTGGATTGTTGAATCGCTGAGAGATGTGAAAATGGACTGAAAATATATTCTATACAACAACATATAAAAAGAATGTGTAAACATGCTAACTTGTGTCATTCGTCAAGAGAGTAGAAATCTGACGACGACAATGTGTTAACTGCTTTTCCATTGTTTCAGCAGCAATTTGTCGAAGATTTGGAATGAAATCCGTGAAGGAAATAGATAGATTTTTGGCCTGTAAAGTTGTACTTTTTTTAAGCACATTTGCTTCTATTCCTTTATTTCGCTCAGTTATGGTCATATAAAGAAGTCGCAAATAAAAAAAACAAGGTGACTATAGGTAGACTAAAATGTTGGTAGTATAAGAATAAGAGGATTAAAGCTCAAAGTTAGAATATTTACTAAATGAAGTAATAACGTAACCTGCATAGTGTCACGCATTTTCGGCAATATTTCGACTATTATAATCATTAACCGATGGCAGATATAATAACAATTATTGTAAAATATTGCTGGAAAAATTCATATAAATTGATGCATAATTCTTAAAAGACTGATAGAAAAGATTCGAAAAACTTGAAAACAATATCTTCAGTCACTATGAATCAAATAATTACACCGAAGTAAGTTGATGTAAAGTAAGTCGCTCTAAACCTACGACTAAATATAAAATATGATTCGGCACTTATTTTATCAAGTTAAAATGATGTTGTTATTAAAAGATACTTCTCAATAAGTCAAACAAGCGCATCAATAGAGGTAATGTGTCAGAGAGACTGATATTTCATTATATCTGATTATGGCTGTACTAACGATAAGCAAATTACAATGAGTATCTAATAACTCTGGTAAAATACAATATTCAAGAACGAGATATTACTGAAAAATAAATTATAACCTGCCAAAACAGGGACCGAAGATATTTCTGAGTCATGCTTTCGAGGTGCGGTCCATGCATAGAGTTCAACTATATTACGAGCTGTTTGTAAAATTTTACCCATAGCTGAAGCAGAATCTGCTTTCGCTGCATCATCCAATGTTTTTACAATTAAATCTGCTATTTCGGTAACAGTCTTACTAAAATATGTGCAACTATGTTGTTATGTTAATGATTTCATAATCCTGTAAAACATAACAGTTACATGATTTAAGACTATGACGTGCTGAAGTCCAACGAATTATCAATAAAAACGGGTAAAACAACGAACCGGCACAACTGAATAGAATCAGAAACATACAAATACATAAACCCTATATCCGATAAAGGTAATGCATATGAGAAAATAAATACAATAATACTATTTAAACAAAAACATTCAAAAAAGTTTCTAGAAGAGAAATAAAATGGCGCACCTGACTTGACAGTTCACCAACCGCATCAGTTTCGGATAATGTTCTTCATTTCTATCGGTTTCTGTCGGTTTGTTTAATCCAATTTTAACATATTCTTCAACAGCTTCATCCTCATCCGTATCCGAACTGCTACCAACCTATAAGATAGTTCGGATCACCAGTACTGAAAATCTCTGGATCCTTTTGTGCAAATCCAGAATTAATAAATCAGAAATATAACACGGAGGAAGAGCTGAAAAGCATGGGTGGAATTCCTTACAGTATCCATTAACAAATGGTTATCATTACTTAATCCTGTAAACCAAAGTCAGCAATGATAGTAACCAATTTCTATAGAAACATCTCTGATCTATTACTATCAGATCTACTAATCAAAATGCAAAAATATACTGAAACAAATTCCGTTAATGGCGCTTCAATAAGAGTCCGTGCTTCGTCAATAATCTTGCTGCAGCGTCGATTAATAAACGTACTCTCGTAATTTTCAGCAAATTTCCGAAACGATTCAGTCAAGTTTGTGAAGAATCCTAGTTTCTGAAGCAGAACTGTTAAAATTAATAATAAATCATCTTCTGGTCAGAATTAAAGTAATAATATACAGTGGAAAAGGAGCTAAATTATGAACCTTCATCTCCTCGCCAAATTGATCTGTCGATGCCAGAAGGGCCTCAAATGCTGGTATATCTTTTGAATCGTAGGGAATAGCTGGTGTAAGGCATTCATGCACCAGCAACTCGACGACTTCATTCGATATTTTATCACCGATTAGTTGAACCATACTTTTTCCACTAACTTTCATTGCACCAAGATTTCTGCCTAAGTTTTTGAATAAGTCCAGCATTGCACTGCAATTCGAGCATCTTAAACTTAATGCATCAGAAAATAATATTTCCTTTCGCCGTTGCTTATTTCATTCCCACATAAAATCAATTTGACTGATAATAAAGAGGAAAGAAATATCTCCTTGGAGCTCCATATTTTGATACTGCACACTACTGAAATTTCGCGAACACGGATAGCTGGGATTTAAAATAAAAATCTGACTTGATTTTATGCAAGGGCAAATATTTCAAATTTATATCACAAAAAAGAAAGTGAATCTCTAGGAAATAAATTTAAAGTGACGTTTTTCATTTACCGGAGAACTTTTTCTGGATCAGAGCGTTTTCTCTTTTCGTTTTCTATTGGTTTTTCTTTCCGTATCACATATTCATATCCCGAGAAGGAAGTGCCATCACGATAAATAATAATTTCCGTAGGATCCTTTGCGGCAATCAACCTTTTACAAAAATGGTGCATCAGAGCAGATGATAGTTTGCCAATTTTTGCATCAATTAAATTTAAAATATCCATTGCAGACAACTTCTGAAATATTCCCTTATTTATTCATTTAAACAGAATATTTTGTAAAATATTTTTGGACATTATTACTCTGATCTATTTGAAGAAAGTAATAACACTAGGAATAAGTCCTAAGTTTTTTAGCTTCTTTTGAAACTCATAAATAGTAGTACGGAAAACATATTTTAGCTACTACTAACGCATGCAATAATTTTACATTTAAAATCTATATGGGCCATCCTATCATTCCGATGTTTTGTCATAATCATCAAAATAAACGTTATGCAACAACATATTAAATATAAGTATGGATATAAATGATACAAAATAATTCATAAAATGTTCACTAATCTTAAAATGGTTTTACAGTTTTACACCATAATTAGAATTAATCTAAAAAATCTCCATTTATTTCGACAATCGAGTTATGACCTAAAAAATTAAAACTGAGTTCCAAACTTTTGAAATACAAACTTCGTTCAAAGCATCACAGCTAGATACCGTCAAATGCAAAATAATTTTGTTATTAAACTCTCGCAAAGAAAATATCTGATCCCAGAAACTGTTCAACATGTAGGTTAAGCTCTGTCGCAGCGTTACAATTTCTGTTTTTAATGTTGGGCCAATGCGTTCTGCGAATGCCTGATCAGCAGTTTCATTCCTCTGTAATTATTATAGCTAACATATTATTAACAACGACGGTTTTATATAAAAATGCCTTTACAGTAATGCTGACTCCATTCAACTTTGTTTGAAGATAAATATATCTATTGAAAACAATTCTCGTGTTCGTTCATGACTATAGTATCTTCAGAACTTCAGCCAAATCTATGAAAATCAAGGTAAACTAACAAAGATTTTGAAGTATATGAATTGCCATACTGCTAATAATGATATTTTAATTATGTTTAAACTCTGAAATGTAAATTTATTTTACTCTAATTAAATTGTATGATGACTATACCTATATTTCTCAATTCAACACTAAGTCCCTATTACAATATAAGTGAAAAATTGTACTTGCAAGATATCGTTTAATTTCCCTTCTAACTCTACCAATAGAACTGCGTTAGCCAAAGAGTTTTCTTCATTTGGTGAATACCATAATTGGCATATCAGTGATTCAACTTCCTCTAGCGAATGCATTTTCAGTTTCCAATCTTTTATAGATTCTAGTCGTTCCAATTCTTTTTTCTTAAAGAATAAATCTTTTAAAAACATGTAAAAGAGTTCCGCTATTTCCAGGAGTAAATTAATGGTAATGAAATGAGAATCAAGCAGGATTAATGTTTAATCTATCCCTGGAAAGATAACTGACGCTAGATAACTTGACATTAAATTGTACACTTTGTTTCTCCATAATTTTTATAAGCTATATTTTATGATGCATTTGTTTGCTTCAAAATATTATATGCTTCTCAATTAATAACTTAACAATTACTGGTAAACATGAAATTCATGAATGTTCATATTAGGCAGTTCAAATAAATAGCCAATTTTACAACTAACATTTAACTCAATTTCCTTCGCCATATTTTCTACATTATCAGCAATAGAATCGACAGAATGATTTACGATACTACAGGCGGAACGAATTGTATCTAACAATTTATTAGTTGTAACGAAATCAGGTATGCATTCCACATATTTCTTATTTATTTCTGATGCGATATCAGTCACTGCTAAAATAAATTAGACGAAGAAAGAAGCAATGATATAAAGCAAATATAATTAGCAATGGAGATACTGGGATAGAATCTCATTATACACAATTAAGATGAAATTTAAATTTTATTAACGATTTTACCGGTAGCTATTAGACGCTCCAAAGATGATATTTCTCGTCCAATACTATCTCGATTATCATTCTCAACATCTCGTACCGATAATATACGTTTTTCTGCAACCGTTCGTAAAGTGGATTCCATTGTTTTTATGCTAGAAAATGACAAATTACAGGTGAAAAATGCTACTGAAAAGAAATCTCGTTTAATGCTATCAACTGACATCTCATTGTGATAATATTCGCTTATGTTTCTTAATAGTTTATGCTCGCATCGATGATGATAAGTCCTTCTGCTACATTTTATACATTTGAGATATCGCAAGTTTTCATAAATTTCAGCCATTCTTGAATCATAAAAACTAATTATGACCTTTACGGAATTTTAATGAACTGTGTGTGCATGCATGTGTGAGGGAAGGTTACTCCAAAACCTCTTGTTGAATTATATATATAAATTAGTTAAGCTAATTGTATTTCTGTACAGACGTGACTCAGCTGAACCACGTGAAAACACATCCATTTCAAGAAGCCGCCAAAATCCCGAAAAAATTTCCAAATTTTATTTTCGGAAAAGCGTTTTGGACGCTGAATGCCATATCTAAGTCCCACCAGTAATCGTTAAATGAAGGGCGGAGTATGCTGCGATTGGAATGTTGGTAGTTGGGCGTGCAGCGATGCAGCTGCAGTGTGCAGCGTACGCGTCATGGCGATGCTGTTGATGCGGCTGGCGACAGCGTCGCGTATGCGGTTGCGCAGTATTAGTAGTAATGGGCGTTATTACTACTAATATTGTTGTTGTTATTGTGGCTATATGACTTCATTTAATTGTGAATCTTAAAAATTCTGCAGAATTTTACAACTTTTTGAAATTTAAAGTTTGAAGACATTATTACTATTATAGGTCACTATTAATAATAATTGCTGTTGCTGCGTGAGTTAGCTTTCGATGATGCCAACAAGGAAAGTTCCCGATGAACGGGCCGGTCAATTTGGCAATACCTCGTAAGTTCAATTAATTTTTATGTGCTCCTGTACGACTTCATTTATCTAATCACTATCTCACTACTATCTTCGACTGCAGTCACTTCACATTAATCCTATCGTTACTGCTATCAAAACTGCTATTATAGAAATGTACTTGTAAAAAATCGAAATTCACATTTATGTTGTAATCCGGTTTAATTTCCTAAATTACGATATGAAAGTAGCAATGTGATACCGGAAGTTTGAAATAAACCAAGAGAATACTGTAGACAAGTTCATAATGAAGTTACTGAAATATATAATAACGACAAAATTAGCAAGAGTTTGCATGCTGTATTGGTTTATATATGGTGCGGTCGTGCCCGTAATCTCGGTATTTCGGTTCATTCTGTATGCACTATGCCATAAGCAAACGTATGGCATAAATCACATAACTTCTGACGCCATATGTAAACATCGGATATGTATTTGTACCCCTGTTGAAATATTCTGTACTTCATTCGTTCTGTCGGTGTGGCATTCATTTACGCCATTAACCGTTAGGACATCCGCACTTCTGTCGGTTGTCCGCATGAACTCGAGGATATTATTTGCACTGTTGCGGCTGTTTAGGGTGGCAAAAACCGGTACAGCAAGACAGAATGGAAAAAATACAACTAAAAAAGAACGATATGGCTTTCAGTATATTCCAAGGAATTTTTATGAGTCCTATTTCACTTTTCATTGTTTTATTTTGCAGAAATGAACAAGCGACCGATAATGGTCGAACGTTACAGTGGACTAATGGGTTAGGATCATCAAACGCTTTCATTACACTGGTCAGTGGTCCTACAAATTCAGGAAGTGGAACAGAATCAGGAACTGTTTCAACGAATGTTTGGCATAATAGTGATGCTGGTGATGTGAATTTTACTGACCAAAGTAATACACAACAATTGCTTGCTTCTACGGAAAAGGTTACTTTTCTAATATTTTTTATTGCGTTTGTTTAATAATGTATGAAATGTTATAACCTCTTTAATACAGTTAGTGCTTAGAATTTTTTCAAGTTGAGAAAAAGAATTTTTCTTAATTTGAATATTTAAACCTAACCGTTGTGAAATCAAAAATATGATTTCATGAGCATGTAGTGTTAACTCATTTAATTCATTTAGTTTTTCTTTTCCTTTTTTTTTCTGATAAAATAAGCACCTGATAAAAGACATTATTTAGATCAAAGAAATAAACTTATTCACTTGTGTACTATCTACAACTTACAAGTTTGTAAAGGGGAAATTGCTGTCTACTGTAGTATACATAGCCTTCTTTTTCATTAGAATTTCAGGTCCAACGTAGTTATGGCAACACTGATGATAGTACAGCTAATACTCATAACGAACATGCTACGGTAACAGCGATGTCATTCAGTGATCACATTTACTCACCTTCGAATTTAATTACCACGACATCGGACTCATCTGTTAAACCTGAATTAGGTATGCAGTATTTTACTTATTGTTTTTATGCTATCAATAGTATTCGTGATTGACTCATTTCAACAATGAAGATTTTATTGTCAAATTTCATTTTAAAAATCAAATATAAAGTTTATTAGATGTTGTGGTTGTGGGTGGAAGTGCAAAGTCACCGTCAGCTGTAGAAGATCGGACGGCAAAAGCAAGAAGTAAGTTTTTCATTGAAGACTTGAAATGATGAGAGCTAATAAAAAACTTGAGGGTGTACAAAGCCATACACCAAACAGAAAGATCGCATAGCTAAAATCTTCAGATATGGTGAAAAACAACAAAATGATCAAAAATCAGCTCAAATCAAAATTTTTTAGATTTGACAAAAATATTTTCAGTAATATGGACGGATGATCTGCGTGAAATTTTAATACAAGAAATGAAGAAACGACCCTGTTTATGGGATCATAATCATCCAAAATATAGAGATTTACAGTATGCGGCAAGTGAAAGGAACGAAGTCATTGAATCTTTCTATCATCGAACGGGATATGCTTTGAATGGTATCTTCAAAATAATTGATAGATAAATATGAATAATATAAAGCTTTTGAAACGTATAATAAATTATTTGATGTAAGTCAAACTTTATATTCGTGAAAATACGAGCGCTTTATGGTATGATGAATAGTATTCCCATTCCAGGATTTAGAAGCTTTTGTTTTTGCATTCTTATAGATAATTTTGGTAATTAAATAAGGAAGCAACTATGAAACGAAACGAAAACCTATAAGTCAGGACGATTATGAATTAATATATAACTTAAAAGCCATTTCTAAAAATAAGCACAAAAATAGTATTTAGCGGATGATATAGCGAGGCAGTGGAAGTCTTTGAGAGATCAGTATGTACGATTTATCAACAAAATCAGAAATATGGAGCCTAATGATTGCCGATTTCCATCATTCAAATTTTCCGAAGAACTGAAATTTCTGATGCCTTACAAGCAATTGCCGCAGTCTCGGTAAGATTATAAAGTTTTATTCCTGATTTTTTCGAGAAATTTTGCTCTTTCACAATTTGAAATAAAAATGATTCGTTTATCATGCATCAGTAAAATATATAGGCATTTTGATTAGGAAATATGGCTAACTTATAGGGAATCATCTACGAAGTCTCAATAAAATGCAACACTTTACTGTTGGTTGACAGAGTCGTTTCGAGTCAAAGTTTTCTAGCATTATTCAGAGACCAAATTTATTTTTTAGTAAAATTTAGATACTGCATTATGATGAACGAAGAAAATGGTCTACAAAATTTGAATGAAAATATTTCGTCGAAGGAATCGTGCTCTGAATTTTCAGTCCCCGGTACTTCTACAAGTTTACTACCAATCCGCCGTAAAAGAAAACATGGCAGGTCATCAGATTACAAAGCTCAAAAAGATATTGACTCAAAAACACATGATAGAGAAGACAGTTGTTTCTCTAGGATGGATGAATTTGATCATTTTGGTTTGTGACTTCGTTGATTTTGTAAGGAATTGTTTTATATATATACAGTGGATCTCGTATTTCATGAAACATATAGTGACATAAACCTTTGATAAAATCAAAAATCATCACCATAGTTTTTCTGATTATGCCAGAGAGGCAATCGTGACCTTCTCCCGGAATCGTCAGACTATTGCATTTAATCTATCAATAACAGTCAATGAATGTTTTTGATGAATCCACTCAATTTATCCTAGTTCTTCAATTTTTTCGAGGACAAATTTAACGATTGATAGTCTTTTGTAGGCCTGTCAATTGCTGATTATATTCGAGGAATTGCAAAGCTTGATGAAAAAGCAGCTGTATGGATAAGGGGTGAAATCTGGACGCTGTTGACGAAGTGTCGTATGAAAGCACTAGAGGGATGCAGTGGAAATGGTACCAGTTAGTATTTTAAGTGATAACGATAGGAAGTCATTAGGTACGAAATTGTATTTGAAATGGAATTCTGTGTTATTGTGAATTTATTATAACTTCCGTCGAAATTTCAAATTATACCTTATCTATCCGTAATAATATAATGTTAATCCTAGTACTGATAGCATAGTATGTGATATCATCTGGCAGCTGCTATTAATCTTAAAAAAAAAAAAAACGTTCTTTAACAGTTATTCTCCCCACCGATAGTCTTTTTCATTCCTTCATTGTAAATTTTTAACTTATTATAAATCATTGATTATGTATGACATTTTCATTGTAAATTGTGTTACTACTGAAATGTTTTATTAGGTGCATATTTTTTACGAGTACGGGTTACGAACCTTTTCTCGTAACTTAGTTATTTTAGTAAGACTAGATGTTGGTATATTCATCGTTTTCGTTGATGGTTTGATTGTAAAGTGATTGGTAAAATGGGTCAGTTAATGGAGGATATGAAGAGCCCATTGCCCTTTCGATCAGTATCTCTTAAACGTAGTAAATTTATGCATTTTCCACATTGAATGACAAATAGTGCCTCGCAAATTTTTATCATACAAATAAGTATTAAATTTTCCAATGTTGACAATTTTTGGCATGCAAACGGAGCGAAAATATGCGCTTGGTTGTTTAAGCGACCAAAACATAAATAGATATTTGCATAAATGTGATCACGCAATAATTGCAACAAAGCAGTTGATATTCTCTTATACATCCATGACTCTTTCATTTAATAATGATCATGGAAAGATCAGTCATAAAAACGCTTCACTTTGCTAATTATAGGTGTTTATAGGTGTTGCTAGTGGTAGTTATTACTTAAGTGAACGTGTCGAAATATGGTAGCAGTTAGTTGGCAACTGATAAGTAAGTAATCAGTAATAAAGTGATTCTGATCAACGGATTTTTGAAACGACAACTACATATGGTGATATAATAGAAGAAACAATCTGAATCGAACAAAGATTTTCTTATATCTCTTGAATTTAATATTAATTAACATATGCTGAACACTTAGCATCACGGTTAGTCATAACGAATGAATGAGAAAACGTGAAAAAAAAAGAAATGCAAAATGGTAGATTGCACTCATTGGTATAGTATAAACCAAAGAAAACAATTGATAAATGAATCAATTGACAGGACAAAAGCATCGGGTTATCCATCCATACCGGAAGATATATTCTATCAGTCTGCAAATGATCGTTTAGTTAAAAATGAGAGAAATGGTTGCGATCTAAACTACTACTGATGGATGAGTTAATTTAACAGGACTAGAGAACATGAAGAGTAAAGTCATAGTAGTGGATGACACGGAGCGATACGTACGTTCTATTAGCTGTAAATTCAAGTAATAGCATTGTATGGGATTCAGCGTGCAGCTTTAATGTAACAGTGCCGCATGTAAAATGCGATTGCTAAAGGGACCATCCCTCATCTCCACTTCATATATACATCCTCACCTGTTCGTTCTGCTTCCTTTTCCTCACTTTTCTCTTGCGTGTATATATGTACGTGTGTATGTCTGTGTGTTTGTGTGTGTCCTATGTGTGTATGTATGTATGTCTACGTGTGAATGTATGTGTATGTATGTACACTATACTATTCCTGAGAGAAGGGCGTAATGGAATCGATCGTATCCCAGAAGGAGGGAAGGGGTTGGTTTTAGGTGCATTTTGGCATTCGTTGACAATTTCAGTTCATTGAGCTACTTCCTTGCTACTACCACTACCACTACCACCCGCTTTGAGGGATACTGGGGAAGATGAGCTGTTCAGATCGGAATTATACCTGCAACAGGTCCTATAACGATTACTTCCATTCAGTATTGTGGTGATACCTTGCTTAGTACTTGAGATAAATCTTAAAGGTAAGGAAAGCAAACTGGTAAAATGGTTTTTTGTACTTTGTGTTTAATTGTTCTTCAGTATAATTACAAGTAATTATTAGTAATTAATAATAGTAATAATTACTAAACTAAATACAATTCATAGAGTATTAACATTGAAGTATTGTAATATGATTAATGTTTATTCTAAGACGATGATATCATTCATCTTAACATATCTTATGCATATCCCATATTTCCCCCCATACAGTTTGATAATTTGTCATCATTAATATCATTATCACTATTTACAATTATGATATTCTTTCGAAAATTAAAGTGTAATGCTTGCTTTTTTTCTTCATTGTTTTTTCACTTGTTGACAGATAATGACACTTCTAGTGTTAGTATTTTATCAGCAAACTATAATCATCACACTTTCACACTTTAATCATGCAAATAAATAAATTTGTCCAAATGATTCTTTCAAAGTTGAAGTGAAGGATTTTTCTGGAAACTAATTGCAACAGATGATTAATATCCAGTATGACTTATGCTACCCTTTAATGATAGATCTATTTTATTAATTAACTGAAGTGTTTATGTTTAATTTTACCCATTTCGCGTTATAAATATGTATATATGTATGTATGTCTTTTGATATAATCCTAAAATTAAATAATGTTAGTGAAAGCATTTTTTAGGATTATTTCAATTTCATGCATATCTGTGTCGATTGTTGTGTTGTTTAATTATTGATAAAATTTTCGTTAGATATTATCAGTTACTATTGTTTCACGTTTATACGTTATTGGCGCAACTTCATTGTTCATTCATTTTTCATTTATTGATGTGTGTTATGTTTAAATGCATTGATTATTTACGTTAACAGATTTCAAATTCAAATTGCAGTGCTTATTTGATGTTCATAAAGGAATGATGGCAGTAAATGATTGATGATTACTGATATATCTTGAGTAATATCAATTGATAGTGTATATCTTTTTTGCCTAAGCTGATTATTAGTTATTCTTAGGATACTTCTTGACCATCCTCTCAGTATAAATTCTAGCAATGATATTTGAGTATATCATGCAACGAATGAATCGAATTTAATATTGATTAATCATTTTCCTAATTGCACTCCCATGATATATTAAAATTTCGACATAACTGTTGTAGGTAAATGGAAATATTATTTGAAAAAAATTTGCATCATTTGGAAATAATGAAATGTAAGGAAGTAGATCACTGCTCATCATTTTTTCTTTATCAGTTGATCTAATGGATACTATTTATAATATATTCTGTTGGAAAATTGTTGGAAATTTTCCAGTAATGGAAAATTTCTATTATTATTCTATTATTATTATTATTATTTCTATTATTATTAGTAGTAAAATTATTCCACTGAAGTTTTTTTATGTCCCTAAACGTTTATAAAGCGTATCTTGCCTTTCATCATACAAAAGTAAAAGTTTTTTTATAAAATTTCAGCTTCTAATGAGGTGACTTACAATAATTGATGAATTATTGGTAAGGTTATAGACGCATGGCAGCTGCAAGTTCAACGCAGCCATCTTTATATCAGCATTATTTCACTGGACATCTTTCGAGTAATTCATCGATTACTGTAAACAACGTTACAAGCTTGAGTTCAGAAGTATTTTACTTTTCATTTTCTGATATTACTGGTGTTAAGTTGTTTCTTGAAGAAATTCAGTAAAGGAAGTAAGTACTAGAAGGGGTTTGTATGAAAGTTACATTTTTGAAATTTGTTATAAAGTATACCATCGAGAGTTTAATAAAGGAACATTTGAATGAAATGATCAAAGAATGGTTTAATTTTCAACACGAGAAAATTCACAATGATATTATTTTACAGGCAAAAAGTGCTGCTTGTAGTAGTCCGGTCACTAGACAGAAGCTTAATGAAGATTCCGGAATGAATGTAAGGTATGTGATGATTTGTATTACAAGAAACTTGTGTTTTTCGTTCATTTATTATTTCTTTTCTCGCATTTTCCATTGCAGGGTAAGTTATTAAGATATCAATCAAATTTCTAAAATTTATGTTGAAAAAGAATAAGTTTATGTTTCTTGTATCAATTAAACTATCATTTCTACAGCTAATGATTCAAAAATATTTGAAAATGTAGGTAGAGTAACAAAAGCTAATCGTAATCGTCTATGATCATACCTTTTTTTTTGTATTTCTTTGATATACGGAAGAAAATGAAAGAAAGATAAGTGGGGATTATTTCCTAAATGAATTAGCAAAGTGGAATCAAATTCGTAAATCACGATTCTCTCCAATGATTCATCTTGTTAAATTGCATTGTTATGTTTTTATCTATTTCTTCCGTTTAAGAGCAGTGAAATATGTGATTCTATCTTTGCTTTTCAGGTTATAAGAATATTTTATTTATCTTCCCTATTTAGCGAGATTTTATCTTTCTGATTTCAAAGTACTGTCATAATGCAATTTTTTTTTTCTTTTTTTTTAAAAAAAATAATTGCATTATAACATATGTAGAAATTTAGAAGCTTTTATTGAATAGCTGGCATGCTCATCTCTTTATAATTACCAAAATACTTCCCACTATTATTTTGGTTTGGTTATGTCTTCAATTCCTATTAATTATTTTAATCAATGAATATCATTTTTATGCTGTATAAAATATGTTGCACCTAAAACAATAGAATAAGAGTCAATGACTTTTCTTATTTACAGATTTTCTAATTATATGTAAAGGTTGTATGAAATTTTTTAAGAAATGGAAGGACCGAAGACGGTTCATGGACAAACAATTTGGCTGCGACAAGTTTCATGCCATCGTCAACTGATGGTCAAAATAGTTGTTGTTCAGTTGGCAATTACGGTGGATGGAGTAGTGATTACATATCCAATTCTGACCGTTACACTTCGCAAAAAACAATTCCTACAACATCGAAAGTATTGTTTTCAAATTTCAAACATAGTATTCAAAAGATAATGCAGAAACTACTTTTTTAGTGACTGTGGAAACCATGCTTACTTTCCTCTTTAGGGATGTCAAAAACCACTTTTTTCGTATTTTCAGAGGCGAAAGTCGGAAATGACGACTGCAACAGCTGTCGGAAATCCAGAACCAAATCCCGTGATTCCACGGTTTACTGATTCACAGGGTTCTTCCAGTTCACAAGCTTTACATCAGTCGGAATGTGGTAAGTTGCAGAAAAAAAAATCTGCCAAGTTTTAATATAGATAAGTAGGCAGAATAAGTAATACAAAGTGAGTCACTGTAGTTAGTTCCCCTCCAAACACTGAATTAATTACTATTCGAGAACATGTCAAAATTCTTTGCTCAAAACAAGGTTTTGTCTGTATGTATATAACTGGTCAAAAGTCAAATAGTCTTTATGCTCATACTCCATTTCATATGATTTTTATTGCTCAAAATTTTCATATATCTAACCATGAAACCCACAACCTAAATGTATCTTTTTAGAGTCTCATCCTCGACCTACAAGTAGTCGAAAGAGACATTCAGGTGAGAAATTATTGTTTTTTGTGTCCTGTGTCATTTATTGTCATTGTTTTGCTAGTTTTATGCATTATGTAAGCAGAGAAAGGAAAAGGAGAGAGGACAATCTTAAGAGTCGTTACTTGAAAATAATGCCTATATATGTGTGTTCACTTGTGTATGTATGTATGTGCACAACAACTATTCAGTACCTTCATTTGGGAATAATAACAGCTGCTTAGAGAATGGGTAATGTCACATCAGGTAAACAACTTTAGACCTCACATCTCACTATTGTTAGGATTATTTTCCCAAGTTTCCTCAGTGATCGATTGTGCTGAGCGACTTCGGTTGAGCAGTTCATGTGTGCTGTATTTGTTGCTAGTAGTGCTGTATTCTATTTGTGTTGCTAATATAATATTGTGATATTATGTGGAAAGCTTCATCAAATCTAAGTGATAATAAAAAGGAATATTCTGATAGTAAATTATCGAGTCGTTCAGATACTTACCAGTTCAAACCTCCCTTCAGTAGTCCTTATTTGAGAACGCCTGAACGATCATGGAAAAATTTGCTTCCATGTTCATATTCAATGCCAATGCCGAGTGAGTTATATTAAGTATTAGATAAGAACTGAAGAATATCCTGTAATGTTTATTTTTATCTCAAATTGGGGAAATGTGTATTCGAAATTTTCAAAAACATATCCAACTTATAGACACAACTTGAAGGTCAAAACTGATTTATTGTATTTTACAATTAATATAAATACAGTTACTATAGAAGTGTTTAATATTTCATTTTTGATAGTTACAGCTGGTGAAACGTTGTCTGCCGCTCAGTTTGGACCGCTGAATTGTCGTGTTGATAATTCATTGTTAGTTTTGACGAAAAAATTCATGCAATTGCAACCTCAAGCAAATGAAGATGGAGTGAGCTTTTTCTCATGTTTTTCACTTTGAGTTTTATAATCCGTTTTATTGCTGTTTGCTTTTCTTCAATGAGTGTTTTCGTTATTGACATTTATCTCTTATGTCAAACAGCTGTCACTGTTAGACTTAATATAACATTTGGAAGTACAAAATGTTCAGCCTGGCTGTTTTTGTATCATATTTACGAGTATTTTTTGTGTCTTATTTGTAGTTACTGAATCTGAATGAAGCAGCTATGCGGTTAGGCGTGCAGAAGCGACGTCTTTATGATATAACGAATGTGTTGGAAGGAATTGATATGATTGAGAAAATGGGGAAGAACAGTATACGATGGAAGTGAGTATTTCAGTGGTTTGAAATATATGCATTTTTAGCTCTTTTCCCTATGAAAGTAATGAAAATAAGGCAAGTACTTTATTCTGAAATTAGATCAGAATAATGGTATGAAATCAAAAGATTGAACAAATGAGAGAAAGAGAAAGAGTGAGATATTTGAGCGATTTTTGATTGTACGTTGCTGAACATTGTAATGAATGAAAAATTCTCATCTTCTTCATTAGAAGTAAATTTGCGATATGAGCCCAGAGACCTAAATTGTAAAACGTAAGAGACTAAAGTTTGCCTAGTAATGTAGATCATTTCAATCCTCAGTAAATTATCTGCTTGGGAACACAAATTTCAGGAGCAATGATGAAATTGGTTCACGTGGAATTGAAGCACAAAGGCTTAAGGAGGAGATTAAAAGTTTAGATAAATATGAACAATCATTGGATGAATTGATTACAAGTATTGAGAATGCGCTGAAATTAGCTAAAGAAGATCCAACCGATCGTGTGTACAGGTATATTCAAAAGTACCATAAATATTTTGTTTCATGTTACATTAAGAAGTGACTATGTACTGAGTCAGTTTCACTTCTTTTCCAACCTTTCAAATTGTTGCATAGTTTTTAAACATTGTTTTTATCAGTTTGTTGCAGTTATGTGAAATACGCCGATCTTCGCATGTTGCCGGGAATGTCTGATCAGACACTGATAGCAATCAAAGCTCCTAAGGACTCATACTCGTCCATCGATGTAACAGATCCAGTGGAAACAGGAGTAATCTTTTTATACTAAAATTTTGGGATTTTATTAATTGCAAGTGCATTTTCATAACCACTATCAGTTTAACATATGATTACTGCAGAAATTCGAAATAATGATCAGGAATTCGCAAAAGGAAGCGCTAGAGGCCTATCTTTGCCCACATCTTTCACCAAAAAACGAACAGTTTCATATGCAGGTAGTTTTACTACTGTTCTGAACATTTATTTTCTCTCTCCACTTATTTCTAATATTAATACTCCATAGTTGGATTCCTCCCGTTTTGGTTTATGATTTTTTTGCGTTCAAATGCTTTTGTTTTCAATACAAAATAAGCCACTTTTCGTTTCATTCGCGTTACAGTATGGGAAGAAACTTCAAAATTCCATATGATATATTGAAAATTCAAAATTAGTACGATTGTTAAAGCAGTAATTACTATTGGAGTCCAAAGGACAAATGATAACACATTTTTCAGTGCTATACATAAGTTATTAAAATCAAGGGTAGGTATTGATTTTAAGTCTAAAGAACGAAACTGTTTTGATTGCATTTCATGTTTGTCCATAATATATATTAGCTTCATTTGGAAAATATCTCAGAAATAGGAAATATGTGATTTTTTATTCTTGTCTTGGAAGCCGCTGAATATATCAGTGCTATAATAATCGATTAATCGTTTGAATTTATTCACTGCTGTTTCATCAAAAGCCGTTTTGTTATCTGTTCAGGAATTTCATGTGGTGTGATTTATTTTTCAGAAAGAAGAACCACATGACGCTTTGGCACAAGAAGAGCGGCCAAATTGGTCTGAACAGTCGACAAACAATGTATTTCAAGAAATCAGTGGAGATGCAGAGCAAGTTCCAATTCCAGGACGTAAGTTTACAACTTTTTTCATTATTTTTACTTTTGAAGTTTTCTTCTGTAGATGTAGTTTTATAGATATTTTTTAAAGTGCATTGGTCATTTTGATTATTGCTTTCAGCAAGTAACGACAATAACGCCAGTATTTTACCCGTTAATACATTGAGTAATTTCTACGCTCCACGAAATTTACATACCTCTCCGCTGAAAATGGTTGTTGAAGGCCCTTCACAGCAAGGAGGTGAGTAATGCATTATTCATATTTCTATTTTTGCACGATCGGTTATTGCTATTACATCACTAGATGTTCTGTTCAGATCACTCACATAATTCCGTTCATTTTATTACTTTTTTGTTTATATTTCGTATCTTTATTTTCCGGCATATATAGTAGCTTAAGATCAATTAGTTACTTGTTCCAAGTGTATTCTTAGCAAATTATGATTAGTTAATTAAATTAGTAAATTAGTTAATTCAAACTATTTGTGTTTTTAGTTATTTCTAGAGTGTAGCTATGTTTTCTCTGTAAGTATTCAATTTATAATGTTTCATATGCTGGGAATACTTTTTTTTTTTTTTTTTTTTTTAACTTCAGATCTCTTTTCATAAATCCTTTTGTAGTTTCAAGTTCAAATACCGAGGAAACAGCAGCAAATTCATATGGTTTGCTAAGTTTGGATCCGGTGGATGAAAGTGAACCGTATATGTATAGTATTGGTGAACAGGAATCAATTCAAACTTTATACGATTGGCCGTAATTCAGATTTTATATATCGCTTCTTTAAATATGATCTCTTTACTGTGCATCTTTGCTTGCTTTGCATACACAATTTAATGGATTTTTAATCTTCTTTCTAAAGTGATTGAGTCTAATATTTTACTTTAAAATACTTTCCTGATAAGAGAGAAGGAATAGAGGAGATCAATTAGATATTCGTTCGCAAGTAAATGAAGAAATGTGTTTTATAAAACATGTTGTGCGTAGTGGGTGTATGATGAATATGCGATTATTTATAGTATGTGCAGTTACTGTTTTAGTAACAACAAGCATGAAACTGTTGTGCTAAATGCAGTACTTTTATGTACCGGTAAATATTTTTTTTTTTTTTGTAATTTTGACTATTTCAACGTTATTTTGTTCAGTTCAGTAACTGATCCTTAGAAAAGAATCAGTATTTCGTAGAAAGAACGAAAATTATTTTTGAATCGTAAAAGAAGATCATTCCGTATAATAATTTGTTTTTGCCTTCGATGCTCATTGTTGTAGGAATGCATCAGTGCATTTGTGCTATTTCATTCTCGATTTTATTTAGATTGTGCTGAAGAATCCTCAGAATGCATTTTCTCTCTTTCAATTCTTTAGTTTTTAATAGGTTTGTTTCCCCATTATAGGAATTTCTCCTGTATTTTTTTTTTCTTCTGCATCGTTGAACTGTAGAAAAAAAAATTGTATAACAGGATGACTGATGCGTACGATATATTTCTTTAAATATTTCAAATTTTTTGTACTATTCATTCCTGCATCTTATGCTTATAGTTTTGGTTTGAATATGGCTATCAATTTTTACACTATTGGAACCTGCCCACGCTTGGCTTGCTTATTCTTTCTAGAATAATTGTTCGTTTTATGACTTACCATTTAGATGGTAATGGGAAAGAAAAGAAAAGTGGCCGAAATGGAAAGAAGTATTGAAAGTAAGGTTTTTAATGAAATGGAATATGAAAAAAAAATTGTTGTGGTAATAATGGTAGTATTTAAAGGATTCATGTTAATTCTAGTATTCTATATTAGAATCGCATAGGTTAAGTTTTTTAGCCAAATGTATTTATACTAGTAGGTAATGTATAGTCTTAAGTTTTAGATGATTCTACATAGATAAAGGATTGAATTTCTCGGTTTATTGATGATAGGAAAAAGTTGATCATATATTGTTTGTTTCGGAAGTTTCATGTCATTGTATATAAAAAAATTATATATGTTTTTCTGATTTTGATTTTCTTATTTCTATTTCCTTTTCCGACTTATGAATACTACACGTCTCATATTTCATTGCTGTTATTGCGATTTATTTGCAAATTTTATTTAATTTTAGGAATTTTTGTTTTTGAATAAACCGTTATCAAATTGCATAATGTAATGTGGAATACATCTAATTAAGGATATTATATTTTGTGCAAATCAATTAATCACTAATTATATTAAACCAAAATTTTTACAATAATATATAGTAAAGAAACTAAGGAATGAAATAGCCAACAAAATTTAATGAATAGTTAAAATGAAGAGAAAGAAGAAATTGGCGTATGGATAGCACAAAGTGTATGTTCTCCTATTGATCGGTCAGTCTAACCCTTCTGCTAATTTTGATTGTGCTAAAATTATTTTTCAAATAAAAGAGAAACTTTCATTGACTGTTACCAAATTCTTCATTATTTCATTTGATGAGACAATTTTTCAATTGGCTTAATTTAACGTTAATTTAATTAAAATTAATTTAATGGACTGAAATTTCCCGGAAAAAGAAAGCTTATATTTACTTATAATAAATGAATGCTAGAAGAAAACGAAAACAAAATTTGCTGAATTTATCTTCACTTTCATTATATTACTAAACAAGAGAAATTTTACATGGGTCGTATTTTTTTTTCCTTTTGAAGGAGATGAAGTTTTCATTTCACGTTTTTTTTTTTTTTTTTTTTTTTTTTTTTTACATTTTAATTTAATTTCTTTTTTTTCCTTTAAATTTTGCAGCGTTTCGTTTCAGTTTCAGCAAATATTGTCCAATAAAAATATTACATTGGAATTGGAAAATTTCCACTCATTTTAATTCAACATTATTACATTCAACAAATACATTAATACGATGAATGAATGGAAAGTAAAAAAAAATTTTTTTGAATTACTTTTGTAATCAAATCTTTTTCGTTTAAATTTTGCTTGATGATAGATGAATGAATTAATGAATGGTTTAATTTTTTTTTAATTAGATGTTATCTTTTCTGTAAATCACTTATTTGTATTTGCTCATCGTTTTTTTTTTTTTTTTTTTTTTTTTTTTTTCTTTTCTCCGTCATTTTTCCTACTCCATCTAAGGATTATATCAGTATGTATTAGCATCTGTTTTCAAATTTTCATGATTTGAATTTCAAAAAAAAAATGGAAATTAAAAAATTGAAAAATGATTTCATTTTGTTCATTCTAAAGTTTCTAAATAATATTCCGTTTTTCTCTGCTAATTTACCTTTTTCAGTTCACTAATTAGTCATTTATTTTTTTTTTTTCAAGTAATTTCAACTTATGCATATGATTAAATTTTATTTCAGGTAATTAACAAATAGAAATTATCATTTTTAGCACTATTTTTTCAGTGAGAAAATGAACAAATATCTGATCTTATTGAGCTAATAGAACAATTATAATAAATGAGAAAAGAAAACGATAAGCGGAAGTCATCTAGCATTTCTATAAATTTAAAAATGAATCATTTATGTCAACACTTTTAATACCTGGTTTATATCGTCGGTATTCAACAACTGTAAAAATATTTGGCGAAAAAGTCTGCTTATGCACTTTGCCAGTCTTTCTTCCTTTCACATTTTCCAATTAAAATAATTTCCCAATTAAATCATTACTTAAATATTCCAAGAAATAAAACAATTTCACACTTGATTATCAAATCTTCAAAGAAAAAAATTTCATTCAATTTGTTGATTAAATGATCGAAATGACCAGTTTTCAGTAATTAGTAGGTGTAACATTATTGTCCTTCATTGCTTAATATATATGTGAAACTTTTTAACACTTTCAAACAATGAATATTTAAGTTTTTTCAGACAATTAGCCGAAATTTACATAAATTTTTTCTTTCAGTTTTTTGAAATGAGTTAAATTTGTTAGGAAAATGAGAATAGCTTAGCATAAATAAAAAATAATAATTATAAATTTCAAAATGAGTGATAAAAGTATCGCAAATAATAAGTTAATAAATTAATCATTAGTCATAAATAATAAATTAAAGCTGTTGATCAATTAATTTATCAATTTTTTATTCAATGTAATTTATTATTTTTTCCGTCAAATATTAGTTTTTCCTTTTTTTTTCCGAGACAATATAGATATGTTTGAAAATATATTTGTGACGAAATTTTTTCTCTTTTTTTAAAATAAATCGATGAAAAAAGAAAAAAGGATCTTTAAAAAAAAAATAAATAAATAAATAAATTTAACCAAATTGTAATGATTATTTCCAATTTTTTCAATCTAATTCAGTCACATTACACATAGTAAGAAGAAATAAATTTCCATTAATGCGTACTTATCGTTCAGTTCATCGTATTTTATTTTTATCTTTTTTTCCTTACCCCCCGTTAATTTCGAAAAGACACTTTCAAGGTCATTTGTTTCTTTTTACTCCTTTTTCTTTTGTTTCAATTATTTACCCAACAATAAGACAGCTAAACGCTCATTATATTGTGAAACTAAATTACCTTCAACTGGACTTTAAAAATTGAATATAAAATGAATTTTAATCGAATTAAGACAGTTGAATTTCATAAAAAAAAAAAAAAAAGAAGAGCTTATTTCATAAATTATTCATTAAAGCTTGAATTATAATCAAATTTAATTCCATTTGTATTAAAAGAAAGGAAAACAATGTTCATAAGCCAGTAAAAGTGTATTTGATCATATTCCTTTTATTTATTTTATAAGGTTAAGCAAAACATTATTGACGAATTACAGATATTTCAATTTCATAAATTAAAAAAAGAGAGAAAAAAAGAAACCCATCTGATTGTAATCAGTGTTAGTCCCTATTTGAAATAGCACATCTCATGGAAATAACAATTAAAATTATGACATCTTGACATGACATATCGATGTTAACGTTGACCTCTACCTTCTTCTCCTCTTCCTCTTCCTTTTATTGCCATTACTACTACTACTACGAACAATTACTTAAATTGATTATTCCACTTTCTGTTCATTGCCATTAATTTCTCATGTTGACATCACATACATACATACATACATACACACACACACACACACACACACACGCACACAGATGTCCAACAGTTGTGGTCTATTATGATGATGACATGTTGTTAGCTTTCCCTATGTGACCTCTAAGGAAAGGATATTAGCGGGAAGGTCATCACTTGCCACATTTTTGCATTGCTCATTGCTTCGTTATATTTCCTTCCTTATTTATCATTTTAATATTCAACTGTAATTTATGTTAGTTCTTACATTTTTTTCCTTTCAATTTGAGATTATATTGAAAGAATTTATTATTATTGTTTCTACTTAATTGTTGTTAATAATAATAATATAAAAATGGAACAGAATAATATTTAATGTGAAGTGGAAACGAATACTGAATTGTTGAAATGAAAATTTAATTTTTTTAATTTATTTTTATGGTGTTAATAGATCTTTAATAAACAGTATAAACACTACTCTTTCAAAATCGTCATTTTATGAATTATCAGATGTTACTGAAATTACTGCACGTATAATTATTACAGTCAATTAAGCGTGCAATTTTACGTGTAAACGATCAGTCATACATGAATAATTATAACGAACAAGTAGTAAAAGTATAGCTTATATTATTATAACAAATTATCCACGCATTTACGTTATGTTTATATGAATTTATATGCTTAATTGAGATAATTAGTTTAACATGTACTTTGTTTCATTTTTTATTTTCCTTAAAAAAAATAATATAATTAAAAACGACTTCAAGGTATTAACTATTTAAATCATTCAAAATTTCATTTTTTTTTTCTTTTCAGGTTAAAAATTTGTCCGTAATACTGATCTAATATTAATACGAATGATGTATAGACTCTTCTTGGCAATTTCATTGTTATTCATTGAAAATATTGGAGAGCCAACAGGTTATTATTTATTTTTGAATGTTTTGTTAATTGCTAATATTTAATGTTGAATAATTTGAATATTTTGAATAAATGTGAAGGAGGTTTGAACGGCTAACCGAATTACTGTTTATGAGTAATAAATAAAAGAATAAACGCAACTTTCAGTTAAAAACTGAAATGTTTTTCATTAGAATACGACAAAAGAACTCCCACATTTGATGTAAAGTTTTGTATTTATTATTATAAATCTACCTGATAAAAATAAAAAATAATTTCTTTGTTTTTGAAACAGTAAATGAGATCATTGCGTTTATAATGAGGGAAAATGTTAAAAGAATTCTTTGCATCTGTTTGTTGAAAATTAAGAAAATGAAATGCATCTTATTAGGGAATGCATAAAGGAAAAATTTTTTCTTAAATTTCATTTATTTGGTTTGTAGCTAAAGTATGAAAATTCTAGAAAAATTTTCACTATTTTTTTGATCATAATAATGATAATAATAGCATCAAATTATTCATTATTATGTGCATTTTGCTTTATAAAATTATTGCAAATTTGTTAGTGCTTAATTTTTAGTACTATTTACTAATATTTCCTTTTGTAATAAATATGTTTGTCCTTATGAACAGTAATGTTTATTTTAATTCATATTTTTGAATTTATCCCTTTTTAAGGTGATCGTCTTCATGAATGTTATAATTGTCCAGGTAGCACTCCAAACTGTAACGATGTATGCGAAGGGCGATACTGCTACAAAGCGGAATTTATTGCCGATGGTTATCTTATTCTAATTAGCTAATTTTAATAGAACAAGTTCTATGAGTTTGAAATACATCAAAAAATATTTTATATCTGTTTCAAAAGTTTTTAAATTAAGCCAAGTTTTTTAAAAATTAAGCCATTCGGTGGTTTAAAATTTGCACCAAAGACAAATTTCAAGCGAAGAAAGTCTGATCGGTAAATTTGTCAAAACATAACTCGTATATTCTAAAGTTAATTCAATTTAAAACTAAGCAGTCATACATCTGTCAACAAAATTCATCAGTTTAGAAAAAACGATTCTTTTAATATTAACTTTTTAGTAAATCTACTTATTCATATATAAATTACCTTTGATATTTTACTTATTTCTCACATTTTTTTTTCCTTTCAAATTTTTTAGGTTATACAACAGTGAAACGTGGTTGTCTAAATGAGACGGATGGTGGTATTCAAATTGGTTTATGCGAGGAAACACCATCCAGTTTACCAGGATCAGATCTTCGTGCCGTTGAACGAATGTGTGTTTGTACAACAGATAAGTGTAACTTAGCTTCTACTCATTCTGCTTTCATTAATTTATTTGTCGCCGTCATTTTATTATTCGTATTTTGTAATCTATGATCACATTCAAATCAGTTGTTTATTTCTTGCTATCATATTGCAAGGAATGCATCTGTCATTTAATCAATAAGAAATATTTTGTCGCAAAAGTTTAATGCAGTTGTTATAATGGATTTGAAATTAATTACCGATTATTAGTTCAGATTACTTATTGTTTTATTTTTGGCACATAGTTTGCCAGTAATTTTTTCTTCTTTTTTATATTTTTCGAATTTTAATCCTTATTATTTGGTTGCTATAAAGCAATAAATAGACTAGAATAAATTAATCAGATATATGATGAAAAAATCCAAATTTAATTTACATTTGTTAAATTAATTTACAATCAATTTTTATCTACCTGAAATGATATATTATTTATACTTTTTTTTTTCTCTCTCTCTCTCTTAACATTTGATGTGGAAATGTTTTTTATTGAAATAGCTTTTGCTTATATACATCAGTGCTTCTTCTTCTGCTCTTCTTTATCTCAACATGTTGTGATTGTTATTTTAGGTTGATCTCCTCATCGTTTACTTTTTTTCTCACATTTTTATTATTCATTTTATTTTATGAATCACAAAAAAAAAAAAAAAAAGAAATTATTCTCACTTGAGATTGCAAATTTTTCAAAATCAAATTGTTTTCTTCATTATTTTAAAACAATATCCATGTTAAAGAATTTGAAAAAAAAATTTTTTCTTTCATTCATTAAGTTATTCGTATCTTTTTTTTTTTTCATTTGCAGTTCTACAATTCGAAACTAATATTAAACAATTATTTATTATGTGAATGTTCCATTACTGTTGCATCTTATTTTCGAATTTTAAACATTTTTTTTTTTTATTTCTTCTCAGGTTGTTTCGATCCCAAAATGAATCATGCTCAAAAATTTTTTCTTTTTCACTCTTCTGTTACTGTGTCGTTTCGTTTCTATTGATTACATCATACTTCTTTTAGAAATTTCATAAGGACAAACTCTCAATTTTCTCTTCCCCCTTTACTTTTTCTTTTTATATTAATCTGAAGAAAAAAAAAATCCACCAAATATTTTCCATTTTTAAGCAATTAATTTTATGCTATAAGTCGTTGAAATGATTGCAATACTTATAATCAGAGATCCAGAAGAAATTGACACGAAGATTTTGAAAAAGGAAGAAGTTAAACTGGTTTTATAATGATTTGTTAATATGAAATTGGCATTAGGATTACCGAAGAAAACGTGTTCACAATGTCTGTTGCATTAATATAAATTGTATGAATGAATTTTTTTTCATAATCATTTTCATATTTGATTTATTCTAAAACTCAATTCAGCTACTAGTAATCATTAATTGTTTTGTTTGTTTTTGAAATAAATTTGCTAATTTAATTTTTTTTTCGCATTTGATTGATATAAATAACGAATGATAACTTTGAAGCCAAAAATAATTTTTTTTTAAATGGACAAATCCTCTTTTATTAAAACAATACAAAAAATTATAACACTGCTTGTTATTCTAAAAAAATTTTCTATTTTTGCCAAAAATTTTAATTGTTGTCAGAAGTTTGAATTTTGTGCTTCCCCCATAAATTCCTGCATATACTACCCAAAATATTTTCTACAGCAAATAAATTTCAGCAGTTTATATAAAAAATTTTAATTCTATTATTTCTGACTAAAAGTTTTACAAATTATCACAGCTGCTTATCCATTGATAATTAAATCAACATAAATCTATCAGGTGATTTTTTTTAGCTTTTTTAAAAAATGTTTCCACTTTCTCTTTGTCTTTCATTTTCTCAAATTTCTTCATTTAAATTGCAATCTTCTCATTTTATGTTAATAAATAATTTAGCAAATTTAAATTGAAATTTTTACGTAACAATTATTGCAATGTTTTCCTTTTTTTTATTTGAACAAAATTTGTCAACACTTTTAAATTCTTAGTGAATAAATTTTTCGGAAAAAAAAGCAGGGAGAAATAAGCATAAATTTTTCCGAAGAAGAAAAGTAAGCAAGAAAGACGTATTAGCTGAGAGAAGATGGAAAAGAAAGACAGAGGAAGCATTAAAATTTATATTTTGTAAGCTGTTTAAAAGACTATAACTGTTAAATGCCATTACTATTACTTTTATTTATTTACTCTATTCTTTTCCACTTCTATATCTTTGCATGTATGTGTATGTATGTGTGTGTATGTATGTATGCGTACATATATATATATGTGTGTGTGTATCTTGGAAGAAATATCATTCGGAAATGATGTAAAATTTTAAACAGCTTAAAGTATAAAGGGAACAACTGCTTATTTAACCCAACCGCCTTTTTTCCCTTTTTCCCCGTTCGCCCGCTATTTTCTTCATCAATTGCAATTTTTAAATGAAATTGTTTCATTTAAATTTTATTCATATTCATATCAAATCATTTCTTCCTTCTATTCTTATCCCTTCATTCTTCCTTCAAATTTTATGCTATTTCATCAATTAATGTGATATTTTGAATAAATGCATTAAATAAAGTATTTAATTAAATTAACAATTGTCATTTTTCTGATTGGAAGTATAATGCTACAACAATTGCCAATGAAACAAGAAAGTGAACATTTGTTCGGAACTTTTCCAATAATTATCATTAATATTGCTCTTACTACTACTGCTATTACTACTACTACTACGATTTACTACTATTATTAGTATAACTATTACTGTTATTAACTTAATATTGTCATCTATTAATTATTAATATTATTATTTAATCCTGAATGATGTATTATTATTCTTAATATTCCTTTTCCCATTCATTTGTTATACCTTTAATTTTTCACAAATTACTTGTGATATTTTTCTTTTTATTTTTTATTCTTTGCTATATTTAGGTAGCTGATAGTATTAAATTTCAAATTATTTTGAAGAAGAAAATATCAAAGAGAAATAAATAGAAAAAAATAACGAAACACTGTATTATTTTAATTAATCGTACTAAAATATTTCTGTAATATTTTTTCATAAATTTTTTTTTAAAATGCTTTTCATATCACTGCTGCATATTCAACATTTATACATTATGATATATTTATTATTTATTATACCATTACTATTTATTACAATATTAATACCTGTTGGAATTGTGGGACAAAATTTGGAGAAATCAAGATCAGTCTGGGTTGAACAAGGTTTATTACTTGGTAAAATTTATAAGTTAGCCGATAATTATATTCAAATATTTCGTGGCATACCATATGCTGAAGCACCTATTGGTCCATTACGATTTAAGGTTATATTTACATTTTTTTCTCTACCCCTTTTTTTCTTTCTTAACCATATATAATTAGTTGTACATAATTTAAAATATCAATTAAAGTAAATTACAAATTCAATATATTTTTCAAATTAAAAATATAGTTTATTGATCTTAAATAAAATTATTTCTTATCATTTATTAGCGTATAACATATTATTCCTCATTTGCATTTTTCATTTTTAAAGAATTTTGTTTTATTTTTAACTTCTGAAATCATCAAAAATTATTGTAAAACTATCAATCTATCAATGAATGATATTAAAATGTTAAAATCTCAATAAATTAAAGTACGATTTAAGCAACTTTTCGACATTTACATTTCATTTATACCTGAAATATCAAAGTTAATCGTATCACGCAATTGATAAGAATTTTTGTGATTTTTGAGCTTAATCACACTTTTATAAATTATCGTCAATATGGTGTAGCTGTAACTTGTTGTTATATCATTCCATCAAATTTTTATAATATTTCAATATTTTTTTCCATACAAATATTTGAATAATTGAGATATTTTTTTCTTCTCTTTATGTAATTTTTTTCATCAAAATTTCGTTTCAAATTGTCCCTAAAAATTAAACTTGTAGAACTAAATTCGAAATTTTAGTTTCAATTTCGATATTTAGCTGTAATTTTGTTAGCAATGAATTTATTCATTTGGAAAATAAATTTTTTCATTTTTTTTTTGTTTTTTTTTTCTTTTTTTTGAAAATTTTTGTGTTGAATATTTTGAATAAAAGTACGAAAAATGTTTTGTAAGATTGTAATAAAATAATTTATTTAATCAAATAAAATTTATAAAATTTATTAATAAATTTCTTTTTCTAAGCGATAATTCATTTTTTTTTTGTGATGTAAATTTCAGTAAGTGAAATGTTTGAGTGATTTGTTTGTTGAAAAAAAGATAAGAAAAAAAGCATACTAAACTGATGTGTGATATGTTTGATGGTTCAAAATATCTTGAAAGATGAGATAAGAAAGGTTTAGATTCTTACATTTGAACTGTTATCATTGAAATGATTGATGACAACAGTTAAAATCTTCTTCTTTTTTTTTAGTTAAAAATTTGCCATTTTAATTATTGTGGAGAAGAATGTAAAGTTCATTATTCATAATTAGCAAAATATCTGAAATATATCAATCAAAATATTTTCATTTTTGAAATAAAAATAGGATAAAATAAACATATGTTAATGAAAAACGATAAATTATTATTCCTATATATAATTATTCAATAAAATCAAATAATTCAAATTGGAATTTTTTGTCTGTCTTTTTTTTCTCTTTTTTTTTTTTTTTGTTTTTTGTTTTATCATAAATTCAAATAACAATTTTATTCTTGTAGCGTCCAGTAAAACGAGCACGATGGCATCAGGAACATGCGGCACTCGATTACGGTGCACCGTGTTTACAATTTATGGAATTTCATAAACAAGATAAATTTGCCGGTTCAAATATGCAGAAGGAAAGTGAAGACTGCTTATTTCTTAATGTTTTCACACCATTTGTAAGATATTATTTGCTATATTTAAAATTTTAGTTAAAATTTTTTTCCTCAGTAAAAAACAATTGACTACTCATTAGGAATATTTCAGAAAAGCAAATATAGATTTAAAGCTTAATTAATTAATTAAATTGAATTTAAATTAATAGAATTTAAAAGCTTAATTAATTGCATTTTGCCTTTATCTTTTTTTAAATTACTTTTTTACAATTAACGAATTATTTCAATGAATTGATTCGCCACCGTAACAGTTATTGGTTGCTACTAAAATGTGACACAAATTTTGAATTGCTATTTACATTGAAAGAAAATTTATTTCTTTACCGGAACAAAGAAATTGCATCCAAAAAAAAGAAAGAAGTCATGTCAACATTATTTGAAAGCTAGATAAAAATCCACTTCTACTAATGTCAGCGCTGTTGGTAATGACCGGATTATGACTTAATAGTAATTCATTGAGTGATCATTATTTGTTTTCATTATTCTTACATTTTATATTTATCATACATTAAGGTTTGGTTGGGTGAATAAGCTTGAATGAAAGAAAATGGTAAGAAATATGGGCATTGAATTATGGATAATGAATTTGTTAACTGAAATTTATAAACTTAATTAGACATTTTAATTACTCAACTAATCAGAGATGTTTTATTCAATAAAACTCATATTATATCCTTTGTAGGATCCAGAAGAAGAATCGAAATTACATCCGATTATTGTATGGATCCATGGTGGATCATTTTTAGCCGGTTCAGGTGACACTGGTATCGATATGGAAGTAATCACGAAACATTTCACATCGAATGGTGTTGCATTAATAACAGTTAATTATCGGCTTGGACTTTTAGGTATGTTTATTTATTAAAGTAAAAAAAAAAAAAAAAAAAAAAAAAAAAAAAAAAAAAAAAAAAAGGAAAAGACTATTAATTAACAACGATCTAATTAATTTAAAAAGTAGAAGTAAAGACTTAATTAATAAAATTATAATACATTAAGGTAAAATTATAAAAATTTTTTATTTATTAAAAATTTATAAATATTATAATTATTTTTTTGTTGTAGGATTTTTGAATTATAAGAACAACGAACACGTGGAAGGTAATTTTGGCATTTGGGATTTGGTAATGGCATTGGAATGGATTCAAACAAATGTTAAACAACTAAATGGTGATCCATCAAAGGTTACAATTATGGGTGAAAGTGCTGGCGCAGCTGCTGTTTCCGTTCTTGCAGTATCACCCAGAACAAAAAGTAAAATAATGTTATCATACTTATCAACTGATATGTATAAGACAATTTTTTGATAGGATATTGTGAAATTTTTTTTTAATTGAAAGTGAAACATTTCATATGAAAAAAAAAATTATAAAATGATGAATTAATCTATTTTCATCGGAATGATCAAGTAATATGATAATAGAAGTGATAGTGGATGATAGCATCATAATTATTGATAGTATTTACTGTCAAAATAAATTAACAACTTATGAGATGTGATTCTTTTTAAGAAATTTAGCAAATTATGATAGCTGTAAATTATCAAACTTATAAAATTATTATGTATTAGTATATTAATTTTTAATTATATAATTAAAAAAGATTCGAGTTGGACTTTTTTTTTTCTTCAGTCAAAGTTCTTCTTCATCTTGAATTTTCATATAATTATTGGCAAATTATCATTTAGTGATGTTACTTCAATTATTAGATTATTTTTTCACTATCAAATAATAAATGGTATTTACAATCTTCATAAATATATTATCCGGTTCTCATTTTCAGATTTATTGCATCGAGCTATCATGTTATCCGGTTCCTCAACAGCTGGTTGGGCTATTCATCGTTTTGGACAACCGGCATGGAGTGTAAACAATATTGCGGCATATATTGGATGTGAGAAAGAACTGGATAAACAAACAATAGAACCATTATTAAAAGCTTCCGGATTGCCAACTCTCAGTAAAGAATGTAATATGCAAGAAAAAATACCGGAATGTTTAATTGTAAGTTAATTTAATTAAATTAAATGAAGTTTTTGAAGGAATGATTTATCAATATGTAATAAGTAATAAATAATATGCATTAAAATTCTTCTGTTTTTTTAAAAAAAATATTAGTTAGTATAAAATGATTATTATTAATTAATTTATCTGCTTGATTCTAATTAAAAAAATAAAAAAAGACGAATAAAATAACACAAAGCAATTTAATCAAATTCTTTTCTTGTTTATCTTTTTTTTTTTTTAATTTTTGATAATTTTTATGCAATAAATATATATGTTTTTAATTTTATGAAACAATGTTTTTTCTTGCAATTTCTCTAAATTAATATCTTTAGAATAGCGCAGAAATGAGTGGTATGGAATTGGTTGAATGTTTTAGAAATGAACTCAATCTTTCATCATTTTCATTCCGTTATGCAATTGCTACTGAGGTATTTCCTACAAATCTGTATGAAATGATAAATTATTATTAAATTCATAATTAATTAAAACAAGGTAAAGATATGTATTTTATTCTACTATCATTTTAATATGATATAAAGCTAGGAGTATCGAAAATGGTTGTGGATGATGAATTGATACCACAATCTGGTGCTGAATTAATTAGCAAGAATGCACGAGTTCCAATTATAATTGGTGTCGCACAACATGAATGGGCCCATAAGAGAGGTATGAATTTCTAAAATCAAAATGGTTTTTTTTTTTTTTTTTTTGTCTCTCTCTTTTAATTAAGTAAATAAGAATATGATAAAATATGCATGAAATATTTTTTGAAATACGTGTGTAATTGATAGGTTACATGCATGTCATGATTACATGATGTGAAACAATACAATTACGTGATGTGTTACGTGGTGAATACGTGTTGAATAATATATGTGAAATTATAGGATACATAGAGATACACGTAGAATATAATAATATTAGATATATCATAAAGTACAAAAGAGAAAAATATATGGAATCTTATAAAATTTTGATTTAATTTTGTTGATTTGAAATCTATGAAATTCATCTTTTTTTTTCTTATAAAATTTTGATTTAATTTTATAATTTACACTAAAATATTTTCGATGAAATTATTTTTCAGCTCAAGATTATGGTTTGAATGAATTTAAAGATGTTTCAATTAAGGATTGTAATAGTAACATTCGTAAAATTATCAATGAACACTATCATACTAGTTGTGCAAAAAAACTTCACAATTCAACATTGGAACTTATAGCAAATGCTAGCTTCCTAAGGTATTTAAAGCTTATTGTTACTTTATTTAAATCCAAATTATTTTTTTAATACGTATTCATGTTGTGATTAATGATAATAGCTATGTTTCAATTAATTAAAAGCATTAAATGGCCTAACTTTTCATCACATATGATATATATGCGCTAGTACTCTTTGAATTAGCATATTTGTTGTTTAGATTTAAGAATTAAATTTTTTATACAGAGCTTACACAAGAAGAAAAAAACTGATATAATTTTGAATTTAATTGTTCTCTTTTCTTCTTTAATAGTCAGTTCGTTTTAGATATATTGATACGCCAGAAAAGAATCGTACCTTAATGCGTGTTGTTTATGGATTACAAGATGTATGATTTTTTTAAATTTATTCTTATTGCTATTTCTCGTTTTTCTTCAGGAATAAAATTGGAATTTGCAAAAAATTCTGTTAAAAATTAAAAATATTTGATAACTTTTTTCAATATTTTTACACAAAAAATAAACATTTTTAATAAACATAAATTTACAAAATTAATGTACAATATTGCACCAAATTAATGAAATAAAAATAGAATTTTTTATATAGTTAGAAGCGGATATCGAATTCGTGGCACCTGCACAACGTGAAATTGACAGTTATGTGGAGAATGGCATACCTGTTTATGCATATTCATTTAGTTATTTCCCAAAATCACCAATTTATGAGGAAGATCAAAAGAAATATACTATTTTTGGCCATGAAACAGTTAAAGTAAAACGAAAGGAACTTCAAATACGACGTTTGTTTCCGATTATTTTGTTTGTTTTTAACCTATTGGAAATATTTCAACTGCTATTTCTTTGAGCATCTTATTCAGTTACTTTCAGAAATAGCAACAAAAATGTTTTCAATAGAGAAATTTATTCAAAAAGAAAAAAAAAAAAAAAAAACTGATTAAGCAAGGTTTTACATTTGGAAATTCCTGCATTGTTATATGCACGATATATGAATAATCTGAGATATCGCGGAAATTTAGTGCTAAGAATCTGATGAACTGGATTCTGCTCATATTCAATTATGAATTGGAATGTTTTGAATTTTTAAAAATTTTTTCCTAAAATATATTCGAATCAGTGTAAAAATTTGCACATCAGAAAGTTGCATTGAAATAATTTAATTATAAATTGGTGATTTATTATGCTTAGCCAGAATGATCGGTTAATTTTTATTAGGTTAGATTAAGGAATGAAATTCTACCTATGGCTTAGCTTCTCGAACGAAGAATTCTGAAGAGATTTACTCATACTACAAATGCTTTGGTAACTGTGTGGAAATCAATGTGATATAGCAAATCAGTCCTATTGCAGATGACATAGCGGAAGGTCACGTCACAGCGGCATTGATGGCGTGCGATTCTTAATGCGTTGTCTTTTTTTTATGAAATAGTTCCTACATTCGTTCTCAAAATGGTGACAATGTCATAGACATTATGTTTTATTTGATTTGAGGTTTACAGTGGTGGTTGAAACCAAGTTCTTTGGATAGTTCTTTTTCGCTATAAATTCAGGAAAGCATCTTGAAGACGTGACGAATTCAGTCCTAATTAGACCTCAGTACCAGTATTGAACTCTGTTTGTTCGGGGACGTGACGTGGTCGGCGTTTAGGATGGTATGAAAGCAGCGCTGATGGAAGGAAGAGTTTGAGGAGTTGTAGATGGTATCATTAATGCTTCTGCGATAGTGGGTAATGGTTCACTTAGAGGTATTCATGAAGGAATTTCACCAGGTATACAAAATGAAGTAATACCTCGATAGTTTCAGTAGTTGGATTTTTTCCCATTCTTCTTATACAGATAAGAAGAATGGGAAAATATACGATAATAATTGCATCTCGGAGATTCAGTGGAAGGTTCACTCGTGGAATTAAGCGTGAAATACTTGGCCTCCGTGCTTCCAGATGCATCTGCTTATGGTCTTGAAAAAAAAGTTGGGCCTATGTCCAGTTTAGTTCTCACTGATTGCTGAGTAATTTGCGAATTATTGAATCGTTAACTGAACGGTGGACATTGAAGATCAAAACATCGACTGAGAATGGAGTGTTTATCGATGAGGAAGGAACTGCTATGAGAGCTGAGAAGAGAACTGTCACCCTGATATGTTCGTCTATAAACTGCTTCCAAAACTTTCAGAGTGCTGTGTAGTCGCCGGGATCTAAAATTGAATCTTTTGTACTAGATTAGTCCGCCATCTGTTCTCGATGTCCTAAAATCATTTCTGTTAAAGTTTGCTATTTGCAAGACGAAAAGTTGTTTCCCTTCAGTGGATTGTTTTCATTGGTTTTTTTGGTGAGAGTCCTAAGCACTCTGCAGAGGACTGTTGGATGCAATTTTTGATGACTGCAAGAGGGAATCTATGGAACACTCTGCAAGTCTGCTTAGGGTAGGTAGTTAACCTGGACACTATTTTTTACTTAGAGGTTGCAGTAATTTTAAGATCGTTAGTTTTTAGCTTTTTCATGGCTCGGCCTGAAAGTGAAGTTCAGTTTGCATCTATAAGGTAGTGATTTATTTGGCATCCTGTATTAGGCATCACTAGGGTATCTATCCTTTACACTTAACCTGCCCGGATTTGAAATTGTGATTGTCCTCCTAAAATGATTACCCCAAAGCTAATGTGCCATTCTAACAATTAAGGCCTGTCTGGCTTGCCGAAGGCATATGATATCTCGATATGGCCCTTAACTCACAAAGGCATGCAAGCTTCTCCCTCACAACAGAAGTTATCCAATATTGCTACTTCCCAAGCAAATAATTCAGAATAGTTATTAAAATAAATTATTCAAAGATTATACATTTGATCATACCGTTGAAATAATAAATAGAATAAAAGTAAATTAACAATTTCATAAAGAAATTGGAATTTGGATTATTAATGAAGCAATCAAGCAAGGATCAAAGCATTTGATACTCAATTTTTTGGTTTAATAAAAATGGCAAATTGGATCTTAAATTCTATTTCATTCATTCACTTACAATAAAATAATTCAGAATAAATAAGATTTAGAATTTCACTGAGACTTAATTTGATAGCATATTTTTATAGGGAATGGTCGGCCAAGAGCATTTCATGGCCTAGATCATGCTTACATATTTACAAATGGTTACAGTAATAATTTGTATATTGAACCATTCGGTAAAAGAGATCAACAAATGGCTAAAATGCTTGCAACAATGATTACAAATTTTGCCAAATACGGGTTAGATTTAAAATACAATTAATGTTTTAATATGTAAAACAATGTTTCATTCATTCTAATTAAAATCCTCAATTTATGTCGAAAAAAAAAACTAATTCGAATGATTTTTTTTTTTTTAATTAGATATCCTAATTCAAATTTAGTTATCTGAAAAAGTAAAGAACAGAAGGAAATTTTTTTTTTTTTTTAAGAGAATCTTTTGTTATTTATGAATTAAGAATTACTAAATTAAATTGTATCCTTCTTCTGCTTTCCACTTCTATTCCTGTCTTTCTCGTTTTTCCAATTAATTATCGGAAACGGTTACAGGGAACCGACACCAACTAATTGGAATGGTTTCAAATGGACACCGTTTACAAATGAGTCCGCGCAATATGCAATTTTAGATTTACCGCCGAGGTTTAAAATTTTTTTAATTATTTTAAAATTTTCCCTTCTTTTCATTATATTTATGGCTGTTTCACTTCTAATTCAAAATTTTTACTTAATTTTTGCAATGATATTTAGCTATTTTAAAAATACCATAATTATAGAAAGTTAAGTTGTTGGTATAACTTTGTTATTTCTGTTTTTAAAATTTTTAACTTCCAATAAGAAAAATTTTAATCATAATGAATTAAATTATTTGTAGGAAAGCAATTGGTAGTTTACATTGGCCGGTGACAAATTTTTGGAATAAAGAAACAGCACTTTTAGAAAAATTATCATTGCGTGAAAAACCTGTGCAAACATTAAGCGAAGAATTAACTGCTGATGAACGATTACAGGTTTTAATTTGATTAAGTAATTACAGGCTTTAACTAAATTCAGTAAAATTATGCCAAAAGTTTATAAGCTAAATATAATGCATTACTTACTTTGAATATTTTGAAAATGTTATGTTAATTGCGTATTAATGCATTAAAATGAAGGAACTTGTAATAATTTTGGATATTTTGGTAATATCAAATAATATTCATTGATTAGTTATTGAAATATTAGTGATACTTTTAATTAAATACTGAAAGATTTTTAAATTAATAATGAAAAAAGTAAGGGTAAATTATAGTTAGCAGCTTATCGACGTGCATGGTGGGCATTATGGCTACTCGTTGGTATGATTGCTTTAGTAATTTGGATCAGTGTCATTTGTGTGGTTGTGACACGATGTCACAGTCCTCGAGCCAAACCCTACAATAATATCGTTGTCAATAGATGATACAACTTTTTTTCACATACATTTTTTTATCACACTTTCTTGAAATTTTTTGTTGTATGATATTTTAAACTTAATTATGATATTAATAAGATATTTTTGAATTTGTATTCAAAATTGCTATCTTACAATTAAGTCTTTTTCTATTTAACTTCGTATTATGTTATGATTGTATAAATGCTTTTATTTTGTGTTTTGTTTTTTTGTTTTTTCAAAAAAAAAAAAAAAGATAATTCAGATTTTAATAATGTTAATCAAATTTTAAGAGATATTATATATAAAATCATATAATTTAGCTTATGCATATTATAAGTATTTGAAAAAAAAAAAAAAATTTTGCTGAATGTAAAAGTATAAGCACAAACATCAAATAATACTAATATACTTGTGATCATAAGTAAATAGAACTGAAATCTCAAATGTCGGAATTTAATTTCCTTCATGTTAATATTTGATGAAGTAAGCAATACCACATATTTCAGTTAATGATGCCTCTTTTTTACAAAATTTCAAAAGTTTGAAAAATTTCTAGGAAGGACTTGAAATTTACATGACAGGCGGAAATTCACAGTTAAATATAGCAAAATTTAATAATAATCATGAAAAATTGAACTAAATTGGCTTTTTTAACTAAATGATTTAGTTAGAATATTGGAAATGTACAAAATACGAAGTGAAAATGAATTAAATATTAATTAATGAACTTGAAATTTTAAACTTTAAGAAATTTTTAGCCATATTGAGTGATAATTTTTGCAAATAGAATTATAAAAATCTTATTCGATACAATGAAATTGTTAAATTTAAATGTGATTAAAATATATTTCCATTATAAGAATCCAATAAAAATTTCACCATAATGGGGTTATCACAAAAATGACGCACAAATTTTGAAATGCTATTTACCTTAGCCTAATTCTAGCAATCATCTTTAGCGCAATTATCACATAATATCAGCGCAGTTCGTAACAGGTGGATTATTGCTTAATAATGATTTAATAGGAAAATAATTAAATAATTTCTTCATTTGTAAAAATATTGAAATATTAATACAATAAAAAAATTTTGGTAGAGCAATGGTAACAATTTATTAACAATTACTTTCTTACAGATATGGAATATTCTTAATTGTAAATATTCCGTTCGGCAAGAAAAATTATAACAAATTCAGTGATTAATAATTAACTTCATGATCATGAACTGTAAAATATAAATGAATAAATGAAATCAAAGTATTTTCTAATTGTTGAAGAAAAAAATATATACAAAAACAAAATAAAAATTGTTTTAAAATTTACTTTCACTTATATACATTCTTTTTATTTTGTTTTATATTAATTATTTTCTTATTCTTTCTTAAATATTTCTTATTTAAATACCATAATTTTTCAATTTATTTCAATTACTTATTTAGTTAACTGTGAAGCTAATATTTGTTTAATTCTTTTAACACTTGTTTATTTAACTAATTAAAATACTATTGCTTAATCATTAATTTGCTTCAGCAACTATTCATTTACTTAATTAATAAATTATTATTGTCAATTTGTTTATTTTTTAATACCTACTTTCTTCAACAAATAAAACACTGTTATCCCCTTGTTAATTCTTTCAACCATTAGTCATTTAATTAAAATACTATTGTTTGCTTACTAATTGCTTTAGATTTTTAATCATTTTTTAATTAACTTGCCCTATTTCTCTTTTTTTACTATTCATTTTTTTTAAAATTATCTGCTATATAGAACAAAAAGAAAGGTAAAAAAGTGAAAAGTGAAATTCACGTGAATTTTAATGAAAGGAGAAAAAACAAGAAGTAGGGAGTGTACAGTACTTGAATTTTTTTTTTTTTTTTTTTAATGAAAATATATGTACTTATAAATTGATTTAACAAAAATGAATTTATTCGTTTTTGGATTTTTTTGTTGCAAAAAAATATGTATCCATTCAATAAATTGAAGATTATTCATTTCGTCATAAGATCTATTTGATTTTATTTCTTATTTCTTTTTCCAAAATCTCCTTCCCTCTCTCTCTCTCTCTCTCTCTCTCTCATTCTCTAATCATTTTAAATATCAACTTAATGCTGAAAAAACAGAAAGCTGAAAAAAAAAATAATGACAAGAATATGCTTTGTTTTCATTTTCACTTCAAATAATTTTAATTATAATTGTATCAAATTATAGCAATTCCTATTATCATTAATTATTTTTACTTCATTCTTCTCACTTTTAATAAATTATTAGTTTTCTATAACATCCATTTTGCATTAAGTATTTTTTTTAGTTTGTTTTGGTGTTATTATCAAATGTAAAGTTTCAATCGTACTTATAACTTTCTGCAAAGTTCAGAGGTTACTATTGCATTAGATTTCTTCTTCGAGCTTTACTGAAACATTTCATTTATTGATAAAATCTCTTGTTTACATTTATTTTTACATGTTGACTGATTCTTTATGATATTGTAGCCATTTTAATTCTTATCACTTTGATTTATTAATATCACTTTTTGTTACAACAATAAAATTTTATTTGAATTCGTTGTATGAGTCGTAGAACTAAAATAAAAATATCACACATGATATTAGGAATATATTTTTTTATTCGTTAATTAAAAATAACAATATTTTATTGGAAAAAACGAAAAAAAGGGAGAAAATGAAAAGGTGAACGTGATATGATGTTATCAGAAGTGATAATAGTGTTATTTATAAGCCAATGCATAAATTTAGCCAAATACCTGAACTAAAAGAAATAAAATTTTTATTTTCGCATGCTAAGCATTTTTTTTTTTTTTTTTGTAAAATAAATTGAAATATTGTAACGTATGCAAAATGTAGATTTGATTGATTACTTGAAAATAAATTACGCATTATGATAATAGCTTGAAACTTATTCATTATGTATATATCATAAATAAAAAATAAGTAAATATTGTCACAAACTAGAAAATACTTACTTACAAAATTTATTGATGAAATTAAATGATTTTGCAAAACTTTCAGCTACAAAAAAAGAAATGTAAAAGCAATAACATTTTATCATTTATTAAATTGATTGCAAGCAGACAAATTAAAATGTCAACTTACAAAACTGTAATTAAATGTTAAAGTATAATATCAAAAAAATTTTTTTAAATGATATATTAATAATATTGAAGAAATTAAAATGCTATGATTGCAACTAGTTTTATAGCATTTGCTTAACGAATGCATTTTGTTCAACCATTTTTCTAGCAAAATTACTTACGCTGTAATTACTTAAATGGATTAATTTCATCGAAATTTTGAACAAATTTCATCCAACAAACTTTATAATCATTTTTTGCTTAGATAGAAATGAAAATGCAATTATAAATGTTATAAATTTGAACAATCTGTCAAATTTCAACTAAAAAAAGATTTAAAATATATTGAAATATTTTAAAATGAGTTAAAATATCATCTGTTTACATTTTCGTCCTTCTTCTAAATCAAACTTTTAAGTTTTTTTATTTCTCAAGTTCCAGTTTTCTTTAAAGTTATGTTTCAAAGAAAATGACTTTTTTTCCTTGATGTTTTTCAAATTTCAATTCTTTTTTGAAGAAATATGAAATATTGTTGAAAAATTTGAATTAATCCACAAATACGAATACATCTATATTAATCGATTTTTTTTTTTTTTTGATTATTTAATAAATTTTTTCTTAAATAATTTCAAAAAATAAAAAATAAAAAAAAATTGAAATAAATTAATTGTTCGTGTATATAAATTTAAACGTATGATAGGCAATTCACTTTAGTGATGAAATTTGCTATCTATTTCATTGACATCTTTAGTAGCTTCATTTGATAATTTTTTTTCCATTGATGCGATGGAAAACTTTTGATGTAATTCTTTTTCTAATTATAGCAGTGCTATATGACACTTAAAGATAAGAGGTAAATAATAAGAGATATGAAATGAAGAATTTCAAATTTACAAATTTAAAAAATAAATTATTTTACATTTAGCAAACAAAAAAAATTTTTTTTGAAAGACTCCTTTTTAAGTTTTTACTTCATTTATGACTTTATTTGTGTATTGTGACAAACTTTCCATTATATATAAAAATTAAATCTAATTTAACTATTAACAATATTATTACGTTAGATAACGTACGTGATCCCTCATTTATTAATATCCGGAAATCGAGAAAAAAAGGAAAGAGCACGTAGTGAATATTATTTTTATGTAATACTATTAAAATGTGAAATAATGGCAAAATTTACTGTACTTTCCATTCGTTAAAATAATTCAAAACAAAACAATTAATCATATTCTTATGAAAAATTAAAGCGAAAAACAAAGAAAAACTTTAACAAAATCAAAAAAAAAAACTAAGAAAAATAAAATTAATGAAAAAATTTCTTTCAGTTTTAACTTTTTCTTTCTAATTACACCTCTTTCCACTATACTTTAAATATAACATAATTAAAAACTGTAATTATTGAAAAAGGAAAATTCTCTCACTTTATATATTTTTCAAATATTCAACAAATAATTTAGAAAAAAATTTGATTTGTTAATTTCACTTCACTTATTACTATTATTATTTTTTTTTTATAATATCATATGTTTACTTATTTTTGAACAATCATGAAACTGAAATGTGGAGAATGCACTGATGTAAATTTAGATTATTACTTATGTAAATTTTTGAATGTAGATTATTATAAATTTGTATTTTACTTAATAATAACAATATTAGCTAACAGTATTAACATTTCCTGATGCAATAGTAATTGATCTGTTTTCCTGCTTAGTTTTAAAATGATGATTGATAAGAGATAGAAGCATCAACAAGGATAACTTCTTCTCTTATTCTTTTCTACTAAAGTATTTCCCGTTGTTTCATTATTATTATTATTTATAAGATTGCATAAAATAATATTTCAAATTTTAATTTCATTTCAAAATTTAAGTGCAATTCGTAGTATTTTTTTTTTTTTTGGTTCTTGTTTATTTAATTATGGTTGCTTAAATTTTGTGTTTCAATGTTGTTTAAAATTTTAAGTACTATTTTATTATGATAGCAATGAATATACATTAGTTATATCATTTCTATGAGGCAATATTTTAAATTAAGTAATGAAGTAATCAAATTACATTTTACATTGTTAGTTTAAGCAATGATTTTTTTTTAAATTAATTTTTCTCTAATTAGTGCTAGTATTGTGCAATGTTATGTTATCTTATTTTGATCTATTAGTAAAATTACTTTATGATAAGTTATCGATAAGTGTATTGATAAAGTAATTCTTGACAAATCTGTGCACTAGAATTACCATTCACTTATATTTTATTTACTACAATTTATAGTTTTAGGAAAAAAGACAAATTTAGTTTCTAACCATCTTAAATCCAAAAATTTAATTGCAAAATAAGCATCAAGAATTATGTTACAAGGTTTTTTTTCAAGTTAATTAGCTGAGAAATCGTAAAATTTTAGAGAAATGGAAGAAAGATAAAAGAAAGAAATTAAAATAGATTTTATTAATTACTTAATTGAAGGAAAAAAATATTGTCCATCTAAGATTTTAGAATTAATTTTTTTATATTGTTATTTCGTTGATGTTTTTATTAACAGATTTAATTTTTAAAAAGATTTATTATAAATTTCAACTGAAAAATTTTAACAGTTTTAGTGACAATTTAATTATCACTAAATATCATTAATATACTTTACAGCTATTTGAAACAACTGTTAATTACAACATGCAGAAATGAATAAAATTATTTAAAAGAAAAAAATAGACATTTAAAAGTTAAAATTTGTTTATGAATTTACTATCATCCTGTTAGCACCTCATTCATAGGTATAATTAACAATCCTAACAAATTTTAAGTTCTTAATTTATTTTTTTACTCTTCTGTTTTCGTCTATTTTATGAATTATTAATAATTATTTTTCCATTTAGTGTTAGTAAAATTTGAAATAGATTGATTCTATTTTAATCTATTATAAACTACAGAAATGGATGATAACAGGAATATAGCGGAGGATAAAATCGAATCGGATAATGCTGATAGGGCAATATCGGTTAATATCGATGCTGTAGAACGAATGCAAACCATTGGTAAAGTTTTATATGTTCAAAAATAATAATTATAAAATTCTTTTTTGATATAAAATTGAGATAATTTTCTTAATTTTTTGCTTCTTTGTATTAAAATACTAGACAATTTGCTCAAAGTGAATGTTCTGCTCCAATAAACCTAAAAACTTGAATTAAAATAAACAAACTGTTTTGAATAAATGTTGTTCACGATAATAATTTATGCAAAAAAATTCGAATTTTTTGATTTATCTGTTATTAAGCAACTAATCATATACTCCTATACTTTAATTAAATATTTATTAAGTAATTCTAGGAATAAATATTTACAAAATAATATTCAAAAATAAAACATTAATCGAATTAGTAAATTTCTAAATATGTGTCAAAAAATTTTAAATTACGTTCATTTTTTTGTGTGCCTTTTCTAGCTTCAAATAATCATTTACAATTTTTATTTTATTTTAGGCAAATAACAAATTTAAGTTTTAAAAAAATGAAAATTTTGTATTGCTAACTGGTTGAAAATAATCGTTTAGCAAATGATTTAAGGATTTATTTTACAATTAAATTATTTAAAGATTTACTTCAAAATTGAATTATTTAAGGATACATTTCATAGTTGAATACAACAAAATAGTTGCCTAATGTATGTAAGGATATTTCAAATTTTTTCGTTTCCTTCCAATTTTTATAAATAAGTTTAAAATCTCAAAAAGCAAAAAAAGGACAAAAGCATTTTGTCATTTTATTGAAGAATGTTTTTCCAGTTTTTCTTTATATTTTTGCGCTTGGATGTGAATTTGAATTAAACATTAGGAAAGCTTTGTTATTTCTTTTCTATGTTTCATTTCTCAATCTTTCCTTTTTTTTTTTTGGAATGACGCTTGAGTTCAAAAACAAAAACAAAAAAAAATTGAAAGAAAAAGAAAAACTAATTTCATTCATTTTAATAATATTTAAACAAAAAAAGAAAAGGAAACAAAAAAATTTTATGCTTCATTGTTTTTCAAAATATTTGCAATTTAACTTAAATTTAAAATTGAAATTACATGCAAACCTGCTTTCATTTTTCCTGCATTCTGAAATTTTGTGTGCAAAAAATAGCAAAATGGACAATAAAGAATTAATTAAAATAATAATTTGTTATACATGCATGCATAATAATTTAATTTTAATAAATACTGCAAATTTTTGAAATTTGCAAAATCCCATTTTTTTTCCAAGTTTTATTGTCAATAAATAATTACAATAAAGAAAAAAAGATGAAAATGATGAAAATACTACTTAAAGGAATCGGATCATTTGGCCGAGTATATTTGGCACGTGATCGTATCACGAAGAAATTTTATTACGCGCTTAAAAAAATGTCAATAAGTAAAGTGATCTTAACACGACAAATAAATCACGTTTTTTCCGAGAAAAAAATCTTGGCTTCACTTACACATCCATTCATTGTTAAAATGTATGTTTCATTTATAAATTTTTCTTTTTTTTTTTAATTCAAAAAAGAAAATAGTAAAAAATTAAAAGATAACATCAATCATTGCTAAAAAAAAATGGCAATCAAAAAAATAAAATAAAATAAAATAAAAAATAGGAAAGTTGAAATAGTAAAATATTTTTATGAATATTACTTGTCAATGAAATAATTATGAAAGTGAAAGCTACATTTTTCTTTTTTTGTTAAAAAGATATTGAATATGTTCAGAAAAAAAAAAAAAAAATTATCTAAATTTTTGTTCAAACAGTAAGTTATTGCATTATTTGAACAGTATGATTTACTATTAATTTTATTATAACTTGCAGGTATAATTCAAAATGTGATGGACAAAATTTGTATATTTTATTTGAATATATCTCTGGCGGTGAACTCTTCTCGTATCTACGAAATATCAAACGATTTCCTATTATAACAGCACGATTTTATGCATGCGAAGTGATATTAGCATTAGAATATTTGCATTCTAAAAATATTGTTAGTTTATTATCAAGATTACCGATTTCAAGTTTAATTATTGCTTATCAGAAATATTAATCATTTATATTTATCATGTTTTGAATAATTTAATAATTTTGTCTTGTTCCTTAAATTAAAATTTAGCTTCAAAAAAATTTTCCAATGTTAGACGAGTCAGTTGTGGGAAAAATTAACTTGTAAAGTAAATTTGTGAGACCAGTAGCGAAATTATGAATATTTTATTTTTACACAGTTTTCCATAAATATCAGCTCATTCATATTCCAAATTTTTTTGTAAATTGAAAATTTATATTTTAGGCTTATCGTGATTTAAAACCTGAAAATTTGATGCTGACAACAATTGGTCATCTGAAATTAACTGATTTTGGATTTGCTAAAATCATCAATGAAGTGTTGGTTTTCAAATTTACAAATTTTACATATGATATTTAGACTGAAAAATTGATATAATGAATGTTACAAAATATAAAAATTAGAATTAAAATTGACAAGTGCAATTAATAATTTTATAAATAATCAAAACGTATGAGAGTAAATTTAGAGGGAAATGAGTTTAAAATTTTGAAAAGCACGACTTTAATTAAATCGGTATACGATACAGGACTAATACATTATGTGGTACACCAGAATATTTGGCACCAGAAGTAACAGATGGCAATGGCTACAATAAAGCGGTGGATTGGTGGTCATTTGGTATTCTAATTTATGAAATGCTTACCGGCTTACCACCGTTTCAGGGTGATACATTAACAGATATCTATGCCGAAATTATGACCGATCGGATACATTTTCCGAGAAGTATGGATTCCTTCACCAAGTAACAATTATTTTTAATTCAATTAAAATTCATTTTTGAACTGAAAACTGTAAAATTCTTAAATACTAAAATTACTATACTAAAAAAATGCTAGAATTATTTGATTAATTCAAATTTGATGTTCATATCAGATATTTACGTGGTAATTATTTAAGTGTTACTTTATTATTTAAAAGTATATCTATAAAATATGTTTTTTTTTTTTTTGTAACAAAAAAAATTTTCTTTTCTTTAAGTATGCTAGTTTTGTAACGGCAACCAATAATTTTTTGTATAATTCAATTTATTTTTTTTTCGAATAATATGATTTTATTTTTTAAAATATTTTTGTGTACGTTTGCAGAGATCTCATCAAGAGGCTACTTCAATTAGATCCTACTAAAAGATTAGGTAATTTGAAAGGCGGTGTTGATGATATCAAAATTCACAAATGGTTTGATGATATAATATGGGATGATGTAATTAATATGAAAATAGCGGTAATACAATTTTGGTTATTACAGTATGATTTATGCATAATTGATTAACATTTCCTTATTAATTTAATTATAATGTTCTTTTGTTTATCGTTTGATTGATTATTGATAATAATTAATCAAATAATCAAAAAAATTAAAGATAAATTAAAAAAAAAATATGATTGATAGATTAAGGAATAACAAATATCAATTAACATTAAATAAATTATAGAATAATACCTAAATAATATCGATGAAGAAATCATAGTAATTTGAAATTCCTCATTTAGAGAGAATATAATTGTTAATTTTAAAGATAAAATTTCGTTTCAGCCACCAATTATTCCAAGATTGCAATCAACTGGTGATACCAGCAATTTTGATGATTATGACGAAGAAAGTGATGAGGATCAAATGGTAAAAAAGAAAATGAGATTTCAAATTTGAACTTGAAAAAATTTAAGCATGTTTTAATGTTAGATTATTTTGCTAAATGCTTTGCATTTTAAATGGTTGAAAAAAGTTTATTCCTTTAGTGTATGCAGAAAATTAAGAGAAGGAGAAATTGAAGATTTAAAAAATGGTCTAACATTTCAAGTCCCAACCATTTATAACTTACCTGCTGTGTTTTTAGGAAATAAGACTTGAACAAAAAGTAATTTCTAGCAAATTTTTTTTTTTTTCAAATATAAATGAAAGGTTACGAAAAATATCGAACCATTAAATAAACATATTAAGATATAATTAACTAACTTATTATCACTCGCAAATTTTTAATTACAATTGTTCAGTATATAAAAATGAGACAATAATGAGAAAAAATTTTTTATGGAGGAAAAAAAATGCTATTTTGGATAAGTATGTGATACATGGTAATAAATGTTACTGATAAGATGTTGAACTCATTCTCAAAATGTTAATTTTTAGATACCATCACAAGAAGAAATCGATTTATTTCATGATTGGTGAACCAATGGATTTGAAAATCTCAAATCATATTAATCGTTATTTATGTTAAACTTCATTCCAATAATTAGACAAAAATTATTGAATTTCAATGAATAATACTAAATAAATATTTCAGTAATTACTAAATAATTATTTAATTAATAATTATCGAATGATCTCAATGATTATTTTAATGAATAATTTTAATAATTATCGATGACGATTATTTCAATAATTATCAAATTTTTTCTTCAATATTACGAATAATTAGTAAATTTTATATGTGTTTACATTGCATGTAATTGAATAAATAATTGCAAAATACACAGATTTAACATCTAAAACAAACAGAAATAACAAATCAGAAGCATTTGATATATTTTACCTCGTTTTTTATTGGAAATAATTTAATTATCTAATCTAATTAACTATCAAACTTAACTAATTTGAAAGTCAAAACGACAAAATTTAAATCAAATATTTAACAAATTTAACAATTTAAGTGCGGTTTTAGTAATTATTTCTAATAATTTTGTATTTATTACTAAATATAAAAAAAGTAGCCAATGATTTGGTTAATTGACAATTTCGATGAAATCACATCCTGAAAGTTTTTCTTTTCCAAGATTTTATAAAATTTAATTGCAGTTTGAAAAAGTATTCATTTTTATCAAATTTAGTTGCGCTTGAAAAAATTACTTTGAATAAAAGAAAAAAGTATATAATCTGTGGCATATTATATTTGTTTTATTTATTTATTATTATAAGGAAAAAAAAAAGCAATTATTTATTGTGAAAGTAAAAATTAGTATCACAAAATCATTTATTTTTTGTAGCAGCAATTAATTTCTAATCGGTCATGCAAAAAAAATAGCAGGTGGTTAGCTTTCTTTGCTGCATGCTTTTTTTGCTAACTACGCGCAACTGCATGCTTTTTTTATTGAGCATATTTATTGTACATTTTGATATAAAACTCATTGTTAAACTATTAATTTTATTTGAGTGATATCATTTTGCTTATTGCCTGCTTTTTTTTCATCTTTTTTTAAAAGTTAGTTCTATTTGCTTCAGTAATTTATTGCTATAATTATTGCTTGTGTTGAAAGAAATTTTTTTAGTTCATAAATTTTCATTGAAATTATGTCCTTTCATCTTTTTTAAAATGCCTCTCAACACAATAAATTTTCCCATTTTTTTAAATACATTTTTTTTGCATATGCAAATTTTTCAAAAATTTTCTTTACTATAAATAATCATTTTATTATTTTATCAGTTAGTATTAGCTACAGGATCTGTTAGTGAAGAGTTCGCATAACCACTGGAAGTGTTAGTTTTGTAGACGATTAAAAGGAGTGTTATTCTAGCCAGTTTACAAGGCTTTTTTTTTTTTTTTTTTGAAACTTAATTCTAGTACTTTAAAACTAATTTAAAAATATTATTTAGGGTTTTTTATTTCCAAAAAGTTTATGGTATAATTTCCTTTCCCTTTTTTTTTCTGTAATATTTTTGTTGCACAATAAATTTTCCCATTTTTTTAAATACATTTTTTTTGCATATGCAAATTTTTCAAAAATTTTCTTTACTATAAATAATCATTTTATTATTTTATCAGTTAGTATTAGCTACAGGATCTGTTAGTGAAGAGTTCGCATAACCACTGGAAGTGTTAGTTTTGCAGACGATTAAAAGGAGTGTTATTCTAACAAGACTTTTTTAAAAAAAGAAAAAAAAAAATGGAATCAAATTGTGCCATATGTTTGGAACAATTAAAATATCCGCTTGGAAGACTTAATAATTGTAAACACAAATTCTGTTTTAAATGTATTCGCGATTGGTTAAAAAAGCGATCACAATGCCCACTTTGTGGTGGAGAGCCAAAATATCTAATTAAAATTGAAGAAACAAAAAATGAAAGAAAAGTGCCAGTAAAAAAAAGAACAAAGGAACAATTTGAAAATGAGGTTATCAGTGTTATCATTAACATATCATCACTATGAAATATTTTAATTTGATTGTCTATATCATTAATTTTTTTAAACTTATTTAACATGATGATTGTTATTATTATAGTGAAATGGTCCTTTGTTTGATTAATTAAATATTTTAAACAATTTTTCCGGACACGGTCATGAAAATATTCCAGTTTACCTTTCTTTATATAAAGATTCTAGTCTAGGACCATATATGAAATTTTTAACCTAGAATTTACCAAGCAGTTAAAATTAAGCTTTTAAATCAGAAGAAATTTGATTGAATTGGAGGAAAGGTGAAAATTCATAATGTTATTCTGTATAAACAGAAGTCTTTCAAGCTTCATTGTAATTTTTTAAAAAATTTGAATTTCAAATCTATCCTTTAGAGTCTTATCCCTTTTGACATAATTCTGTTCTAAATTTTCAGAAAAAAGAAATATTACAATCATTTGTTGCAACATATTCTATAAAGAATTAACAATGTTACCATATTATTTGTTGTTAATTATTTTGAAATCTTTTTTCATTTTTGCTTAAAATTTTGCAAAATTTTTGAATTTTCAAGCTTCTTGCCCAAGAACAACTGGAAAATGATCAAGGCGGCCCTTCAAATGAAGATATTACCATTGAATATGCAAACTGCCGATCATGCAGAAGTTCAGATAATGAACATTTACTGCTACTCTGCGACGGAAACATTGGTCAAAATGCTGATGGTTCTACGATTCGCTGTAATGTCGCCTATCATTGCTATTGCTTACCGGAGAAACTGGAGCGAATCCCGGAAAATGACTGGTTTTGTCCATTCTGCGAAAACAAACCAGAAAATGCACAGCATTTTGTAGAACAAACAAATTTAAATGTTTCACGTTCAGAAGAAGCTGGTAGTAGTAGTTCAAGACAATTAAAGAATGAGACTGATGTATCGAAATGTCATCTAAGCGGATGTTTGGAGCAAGGTAATATGAAAATAGAAACTGGATGCAGCAAAATTAGAAATTCCGAATCAACGCTTATTCAAGATGCTTATGGTGATTCGGATACGGAAAGTGAATCAAGAGACTATAGTAATGAAAAGAGTGAATTATATTCAACAAGTGATGCAACTAGTGATGATTACGATGATAGCAACGAAATAACAGTCGAAAATACTGGCGGCAAGTTATCATATAGACGAAAATTAACAAACTATAATATTTTGATAATAAGATTACAACTCTTAAAAAATTAAAAATTTTAATACAGAAATAAGAATTACAAATCATTCTACCTAATATTTTACGTTTGCGTGCTATACGTAGATGAAATATACGTCGATGAGAACGTACAAATATACGAAATTAATATTTCTTCATTAAAAAACAGACAAGAAATTATAACTAAAGCTAGAATAGGAACAAAAATATCGAATTTACTTATACATCATTAATATATAGGGACAAATTTTGATGTATTGGACGACGACGACGACGACGATGACGATGACAGTGATGATGGTGAGAATGATGATGATGATGATTGTAACGAATCGGATGAAACAGATTCTGAGCAAAAATTCCACCAAGCGATATTTTGCGATAATTGCAGACGAAGAAGAGGAATGAAGCGTAATCAAGGAATTACATATCGCCGATAAAGTTGCAGAATTTATGACAAAGACGAAATGAAATTCTGGTAAAGCGGGAATATCAAAGACTGATACTAACACATCATCACTCTAGCTAACAGATCACTTCTATATAACAAATAATAATGATAATTTTAATAATTGCTGATGTACTTGATATACCATATGATTTTCTAACCAACTTACAATTTTACTTGTGATAATGCAATCAATGAATGTGTGAACTGAAATAAACTTATGCTAAAATCCAGAATTCCTATTACAATATTAACAGCGTTAATCTAAGTTACATTTGTTCATAAAAATTTTGAATCCGAATTTCATGAAATTATCACGTATAGTTCACATAGCGCTAAATTGTTACTGATACTGTACTACTAGAAGTCATTCTCAACACATTGAAATCACAATATTAAAAAACTGAAATAATTTAAAAGAGAAATAAATACTTGTGTTAAAAAAACCACTTACGTCAGCTTATAATCACGTAATATATCCGTGATCTCTCGTAATCACGCAAACAAATTCATAATTTTGGCATGATATTTTCCGTTATACTATTTACTTATATACTCTTCAATTATGCAGTTCCTTCCTATAATAAACCTAATAAACCCTTTACACTAGTGATCGGAAGAATTATATAAAATTGAAGAGTTTCGGAGATGCTTTCAGAGCATAATGGACCGCGTTAAATTCAAAAATATTGCATTTGAGGAATTTTAGCTTAATGTTGTTGGAATTGAGGGGTTAATGGTGTGGTAGTGTTTTGTTGGTTTTGGTCGTATATTGTTCGGTGGGGTGTTTGTATTGTGTGGTAATGTCTAGATTCATTCATTAATATATAATTTATAGAGAAATAAATGAATTTGTCCGAGAAATTCTTTCCACGGGAACGTCATAAATATAATCTAGTAAATGTTATTAAAATATTGCCTTTATTTTAGTTGATAATCCAGAATTGCTTAGATAATGATTGAAATTATCAAAATGATTCAAATAGGACTAATCTTACTCTATGCATAACCAGTAACTTGTAGGATCATCTTTACTTTTTCTATTATCTTATATGAGGTAATTTCAATGGTAGTTCTTTCGAGAATAATACGAAATTATTTTTTTGTGCCGATCACTGGGTGAAGAATGAGTGAATTTGTGGAAGAAGATATCGAAGGTTTGCTTCCTGTTTTCGAGACATTAAGAGATGTTCAGTTATTATCACCTACTGAAATTGATGCATTTGTCAAACGTTGCCAGTTCTTCGAATATCGTCTTCAAAAGCCTGTAAGAACTTTTTCTTCGACAACTTAACTTATGCTATACTATTAATCACAATGACTTTCTTGCTGAATTTGTCAGGATTTGTTAAATTAGTTTGGATTTCGCAGTGGAAGTGCTTAAATGTCGCAGTGTAAAGCCTG